TATATATATATATATATATATATATATATTGCGACTGGTCTGAGGTTAGTCGAACGAATGCGCGCGCATGTGTTTCGGATAAGGAGGCTGTGTCTGTAGTGAGCGGGAGTCGTGTGTCGCCGAGAAAAGAATGAGTGGTTCAATATTTCTCCCTCTTTCGCGTTCGGGGTATATTTTATAAAAGATCGTGAGCGTGAGGGTCATTTAGCGATGGTATATTGAAAGAATTTGCGACAGCGTTCCGAGGTAGTAGTAGTCGTGGATGACTTGATTGTACGAGATAACGAGCGAAGGCTGGGGTCGAGACGAGTATGACAATTCAGATCAAAAGTGACTGGTGTCACGGCGATTCTCTCACAGCGATTGACGAAAGGAGAGACAGGAACAAGAACGACAGGAATAAAGAGGACAGCCCCCCTCCTGAGATGTGGTCGAGGGTTGAAAGAAGGATTGTGTCCTTCCCTGGGGTTGGCTTACTTAAAGAGAAAGAGGAGTTCGTGACCTACTCCATAAAAAAGGACGTTAGCGTACGTTAGCGCTTGTGGGCTCCCGCTTGTCTATCATCAGAATTTGGTACGTACATCGGATATGATATTTACAAGTATACAAGTGTCTTCATGTTACACACTGCCATCAGTGTTTGGTGCTCAAAATAACTACCTGGGATTTTGTTATTCCATATAAGATTCCCATGCATGCACTTCTGATTCTTGTACAGCTTCATATTTTTTTAAAGGAAAAAAGTTTTTAATTGAGATCGTCAGCTAGAAGATCTCCACTACTCGAGCGTCAACTTCCTAGCTCAAATAAAATATGGAGTGGATATCAGAAAGGGAAATTTTAGATAGCTAGTACACAGTCAAAAGATGCTGTTCAGAATGTGTTGAGCATTATGTACATTGTATTAAACACCGCAACCTCGGTACGGATAACATTTCAATTCCCGCCCAAGGCTCCAAAATTATTAAATCACGAAAGAAAAAGTGGTCATAAAACGTGTATTAATAGCAGAAACCAAAAGTATATCATATATCAACACCGTGACACCAAACATTTCCGAAGGATAAAAACAATCAAATGTACAGAAATCCTGCGCTTGTTTATCTTGCCATCACGACATCCACCGCCCGATACCACGGCCATGCCTATACCAAAATGTCCAATGTGTGAACTTATTTCTTAGCTGGTGGTGGCCCCGGAGGCGGCGCATATACTTGTTCTCCGCCATGGTACGCGGTCGGGGGCTGCTGCAACTCGATTCCATTCTCTTGTTGACCGCCGTATGCATTGGGAGGGCCTTGTGGCGGAGCATAGTATCCCTGGTTCGGATCTTGTCGTTGATATTGAGGAGGGGGTGCGGGTTGATAATCGCCTTGTCTATATGGTGGTGGTGCCATCCAATGTGTGCCGTACATAGGGGCTAAACCGCGCGCACGGCGACGGCGAGCATTTAGGCAACTATATGACGTCGAATTAGCACATAAACAGTATTGCAGAATTATGTTGTCGTCTTGGGAAACTCACGCAAATAGAAAGAAGAACACGAGAGCAGCTCCTACAATGACCGCAAAAGCCACCCATCGACCCCAATTATTCCACGACGAGTAACAGTTGGTATAATTTCCGAAACCATCATAACTAAAAAAGAGGTCAGTTCGAGTTCTTTGGATTGTTTGTGATGTGTCTGACGTACCAGTAATCTCGTTGGTTTATGACACCCATCTTGAGAAGTCGCTTAGCTGTACCGATATGCTTATCTACCGAATGTGAGAGATGTATAAGAGCAAGATTTCCGTTTGAATGGGCAAATAGATAGTCGGACAGTCTATAAATTAGACAAATAATAAACGATGAATAGAGAGAAATGGATGAAGAAGAAAATAGATGAAGTTGATCTAGGACATGAAGAAATAAGTAAGACAGAGGGAAATAAAGTGAGATCATACCAGAAGGTTGGCTGAGCAAAAGGAAGTGGCTGAGCGTCTTGGCTGGCAAGCTTCACGTCTTACCCAATCCGGACTGCTGTGTTAGATTGACCCAATTAGAGACTATTCTCTTCTAACATTTAACCGTATTAGGAATAGCTGATTAGGAATCATAGTGGGTCCGACAGCGTATTGCGTATCCAATCGGCCCAATCAGAGCTCATAATCTTCTCCATATGAGTGATCTGATTGGATGGTCGCAATGGACTATTCCGCTTTTAGTCTTGACGTCTTTCTTTCTTCCTTCCTCTTTGAGATTCTAGCCCTAATTCATCAGAGACTCGCAAACCATTGAGCGAAGGAGCATATCTGAAGGTTATACGGCCAACGGTCAGCAGAAATATCATTACTGTTTTCAATAATGCCTCACTATCTGTGTATTGATTCTCATGTATGTGTCCTTGCCTGACTCTGCAGCAAAGTTGAGACATGTTGACGTTTCACCAGTCAGCTGCGCGTCAACGAGCCCGCCCTGGTATGCACGTACCGAGGCACACAAGGAAAGAATTGCTCGTGTTCATTCATTAATCATTATCAAAGGGTATCCTAACATTCAAATCATGACTGATGGTCATGCATTACCGCTCTCCTGAGACTTCAATGATCCAGCCTCCCCATGCTCCCGACCCAAACGCCATTTCCCATGTTAGTATATAAAGAAGACGATATGTACCATCACTTTTGTGCCTGCAAGCCATCTCTTAGCTCAGCAAGCCTAATGTCCTCTTCTTCATCTCTTGCGCCTTCTTCTCTCAGAGTATCAACTGAATCCATGCTCATCCACCCCTTTGCACTAGCCTTTCGACCATTGACATTATTCCCATTATTTGGGTCCGCATCGACAAATCCAGAATCTTTATACCTGCTCCCACGTTTCTGGCCGCGAGGGTCTGCGACACTTCCGGCACCACTAGCGGAATTATCGGTACCAGAGGCAGATATCTTGCTTTTCGCTGAGGATACGAGAGGTTTGTAAGTTGGTAGGCAAGCCGAGATGATGGCAATACCGGTGTGGATGTTGAGCCATAGGGCGTCTTTGTCGAGTTGAAGTGCACCGGGGCCGCGGTAACAGATGACGACGCGGATGATGCCGGTGATGATTACACTGTGTATTCTCGCGTATTAGTTCCTGCATGCCATCGAGAACTTGAATGAAACGAGGAGGTAATACCAGCTCCCAAGCATAAAGATCCCACAAACACTCAACCTCCGTCTCAACGAAAGCTGCAACTTCAACACCTCACTGATCGGTAACAGAAGCATACAGGCTTCAAACACCAATTCCGTAATCATCAACACAATCCAATAAGTGCCGAACTTGATACATTGTGGCGTTAAAGATTCCCAGTATGATGATGGCGGGTTGCAAACCCAGATCTCCACGAGGGCGCCGGGTATCGCCCAGATGATTTGTAGTATGATGAGTAAAAGACACAATGAGGCGACACGTTTGAACCAGCCGGTGTCAAATATCCGCCGGTAGAGGAGGAGAATGGATATGTTGGTGAGGGCGATTGCTGGGTAGTAGAATACTCCGTAGATGTAAATATACTATGCGCCCGGTTGTCAATGACCTCAAATTTTTCGCAATTTCAATAATCCAATATCTGAACTTACTTTAGCATATGTCCGATAATTCGGATCTTCAGTCCCATTTTTGACCTGTAGCAGCGCTTTGGCTCCTACGCAATCGACTACCGTTTTAGCATGCGACGAAAACAGAAAGTGTCGCAAGACGCACCTGTCATTTCCAGTCCTTCGCATAGTATAAACATAACAAGTGCAGCCAATATAGTCCAGTCGTCCCACCCAAGTTGTGCCCTTTTGATACGTCGCGCCACGAAACGGAGGATAACGGCCAGTACACTCAACGCCGTGAATACGGAGCCTGTGGCTAGGATAGCGGGCGCCTGGCTGTTATCCACGGCCGTCATATTGTGTTGGTCGCATGTAAAGTCGTATGTAAAGATCTGTTTTCTAACGTTGATGAAAACAAGTCGAAATCATGCCATCATGAAGGTGTTGGCCTCAGGCACAACGCGTGTACAGGGTAGAGCTGTTGTCATAACCAGGGACACAAAGGTACCCTCTCATGGCTGAAAATAAGATAAAACGAAAGATCCCCACATTTATTATGGATCAAACTGATCTGCAAGTCACAACATACAAGAGATGACGAGACGGCAAAGCGAGAAGGAATTGACTGGGAGGAGCATTAAGGCCTGTCAGCTTAATTACGTACAGTGCTTGTCTGTACGTTGCATACAAATAAACTCAAGATTCTTCAGTGCGGAAGCTGCCGCCGCTTGCTGTCACTTTGACCGTCACGCTATCACGTCGCGTAAATGCAAGTCCCTAGTTAGGCACTACGTAAAGCGTAATCCGGCCCCAAACCAAGCGTAAAATACGGCGCTACGCCTATAAGATGGGCGAGTTAGCGACCAATTGTCAGCACTTTTAGTCCCCGAGTCGCAGTGCTGTACAGGGTGGCGTTTGCAAGTGGTTACTTTAGTGTGTAGTATGAGCTTATAAGGACTAGCGTCAGTATAGACTTCTTCAATAGGAATAAGGGTACCAAGTCTATCAGGTTGCGGATCCGCCGCTGTCCGCACATACATATCCATGGACAAGTACGTCGTTATAAGGGCATCTCTATGCCCCTCAAGCGCTGACTCGAGTCAATACGTACACCTTTCGGGCTGTGACTGACGATCAACTAACCCTCAGATGCTTAGGTGCAGACACATACGCATTCCCCCTCAAACAGTGATACCGATACTACCAATCCACTCATCCAACAACGCAACAGTCTCATCCGGTTTCTCGCTCGGAATCCAGTGACTGCAAGCAAATTGCTCAACGCGACCATTTTTGAGATGCTTCTCAAACCCAGGTTTCTGGAAAGCCGCATGGCATACATAATCGTACTCGGCTGTGACTAACAGAGCGGGGATGTCAAGGTTTTTGCTCTCGTCGGTTCTGAATTTTGAGTAGAATGGTTCATCGATGCCGCGGATGTATGATTTGTACCTTTGACAGATATTAATTCTTTCGCTTTTATTGGATCTGGTGTAAGAATGACATACCAGTTTAGTGGTCCAGTATATCCTCCCTTCTTAAAAATTCGTATATGAGTTTCGTTCTCCTCCTGAGTCATCCACGAGGGTGGAGGCGCGACTTTTCCGGTGCTCAACCATTCTTTGGCAGCACCTGCAGGGCCCATATGAATTCTCCAACCTTCAGGCGTTGTAGAATATAGTAGCGAGGTTAGGGAAGGCGCATTGGCGTCTACGATTGCAGCGGCGCCATCCTCGTTGAAGAATTTCATGTATCCGTAGCACTCGTGTCCGAAATATTGCTCGGAGAGGGAATTGATAAAGTCGATCTGAAATGGTGCGGGAGGAACGTAACCGACTGCTAAGAAGGCGATGCCAGAGAAGTAGGAAGGATGAGCTAGAGCAATTGTAGAGAGAAATGCAGAGCCCCTTAATCAGTCAGAGCCTCATTCCGACAAAATCAATAGGAAGGCACAAACCAATCATGCCCAACACCAATAACCTTCTTCAACCCTTCAACCTCCAGAATCTCAATAATCTGATCCGACATCCGCTTATGTGAATACGCTTCTACTTCCACAGGCTTATTCGTATCTCCATAGCCCAACAAATCAGGTGCAACGATGCCATACCCTTTTTCTCTCAACCGAGGCACCATATGTCGCCATTCGAAACTTGAGCTTGGGAAGCCGTGGAGAAGTAAGAAGGTGGGATTTGCTGGTGTTGCGGCTGGGATGCGAATGTAGGCGTATGTTGTGCCGTCGGATGTGGTAGTGGATTTACTGATATCGGGATAGAGTTGGAGAGCCATTGTGTGCGAATCGCTGCTTGTAGATATTGTGCATATATTTCATGAAATCTTCGTAGTTGATTACAATCCATGCAAAAGGACGGGTATGTTTTGATATTTATGATTTTCGGCATGTATATTTACTTGCGGTGCTTCGATTATACGCACCTTTCCATCTAGACCTATGGATATCGTATGCCGTATGGATTCACCAATCAATGTAAGCGTTGGATGATTACTATACAATGAAAACCATGTCCACACACGATATGTTGGTTGGTTCTCCATATGGGGGGCCGAGGTCATCCGATTCATATATTTGGATTATAAATTGATAAAAATAATCATAATTAAATGGACCATTAAGCAATGCTGTGTCACTAATAGCCTAACTGTAGCATCTTCAGTCAGAAAGATGTCGAAGAAATCACTTAGCGGCACTGAGTGTAAAGAAGGACGACTTCATATATCTACTAATCTCTTGTCTCATATTCCACAGACTGCACTTATAACTTGATCTACATTACGATCCCCAGATATTAGAAGTATGCACAGGGGCAATGTAAAGCAGCAAGGCGAGGGACTTTCCAGGTTGGGGATTTAGGGCTTTTCAAGTATCCATGCCTGAGGCATCAAAATCCTGCGTCCCACTCACATCTGGCAATGAACCTTGACAAGAATTCCATTCTGGCGATTAGATGAGAATGAGTGATTATCCTGTGTACCCGTGTACCGACCTGTTCACCGTTTAGTAAAAAGTTGATGTGAAAGATAGCCAGTGTTCGCTCACTTCCGAATTAGAGACTATCAAGTTTGACCTAACTTGCCGATTGCGCTATCAATAGAGTACGTACTCATGAACGCTACTTCAGGGATATGGAAGTTAAAATTCGAAGTATGAAGCTCGAATGGAAAGTCTGGTGGAGGAGGATATTAGGCAGGTGATCGTCGGTCATTCAGAAGTGAGCGATGGGCCCGGCTCTGGTTTATTCCCCAGAGTTCCAAGTCGTAGTTGTCTCGCCTGGCTTCTCGGAATTTCAACAGGTGCTGTCTAGGAAGCTTTTAGATGGGGATCGTCAGCAGGGCGTTCTTTGAGAAAACGCCGTGTTCTTGTAGTTAGTCACCGCAGCTCCTTCTTAGTATTGCACTTTTCGTTTTTTGATCTCCTTGAATCTCGTCATCGTTGTTTACTATGAAGAAATCGCTGGTAAGATACTGCTTCCAGTAGCAAATGCCATTTTTGGGCTGTACTTAAACGCGATGCTGGTGGATGTCCAGCCGGGCCTTCGATGAAGGTGAAAAACTCCTTCGAAAGATACTAGCGCAGCCGACAACTTGATTTGAAGGTTCATCATCAATGGATGGTTGAAACTGGCATACATGTATGAGCTTTTCTGTTCTTGGGGTGAAAAGTTGTTTGTAGTACATAGGTACCTACCTAGCTAAGTTACGTAATTTTAGTCATACGCCCTTTAGGATTTACACCGATAGATGGACACTCTTTCAATAGTCCGGAGTCTGGTGTAACTTAACATAGTACATGTACAATTGATTGATGGTCTGATGGATTATCTCATACACAGTATAATCGTCTAATCAGTGCGAAGTATTGCCTACAATACGTATGTACCTCAACACCATGTATAAATATGACTAGTGTATATATATACACATCTAGCTGGGTAGATTATACTTCATAATTGTAAAATTCTAATTGATAAGCACTACAGAAACAATGATCCAACCCGCGAACCATTAGTGCACATTATATGCATATATCCAACCCTTAATAGATTGCATGCATGCACGACATCCAGCATTTGGGTTAGGGCAAATCCAGGATGAACAATCGATAGGCTCCCAACACTGCCAACACATCACTTGGTCCGTGTGTCTATACATCCTTTACCTGCGTGTATATGTACGAAATGCCAACACATCGTCTTTTACTAGCAAATTAGCAATTAATACTAGCTAATAATGTGGTGGCTGCATGCTCAATGTAGTTGAAGATTTGTGTTGGATCTGCCATGTATGATTAAGCAAGTGTTCATGTACGATGAGTTGGCAATCGGATGATGGTATCACATTACTACCTATGCAAGAGGTTATATTCTAGAGATGCCCAAGTAGTGGAACTCGACACCTTTTTAAATGGCCGACTTCTTATTCTCTTCTCCAAATTCTCAACAGTTGTTTGCGGAAGAAATACTTTGACATTTTACAAGAAAGATTGAGGTTGTACCCTTGACCCAAGCCTCTCACGGAGGAACGCCAACCGAGACCTTTCTCACTATCTTTTTTTTTTTACGACATGACTAGGACAAGTGTTCAGATTGTGCAATCGCTAATAAAAGCTCCTTATATCAACACCAAAGAAGATCGAGAAATACCGAATGTCACAGAACCACAAAAAGGCGCACAAATGAACAAAGCAAATGACACGAACACAGAACGAACAAACAGAACCGCCATCGCTGGCGCGCAGATATCGCTGCATGCGTCTTGACAAGAAAAGAGAAGAAGAGATACACAGATCGTTACTCATTAAGTCATTTCCTCGCAGTTAATCTTTAGTCCATTGACGAATGTATGACTACCGATTCGCTCGCGCAATCAACCAATGCAACACAGCATCCAGATTCGTCTCCTCCTTTGCACTGATTCCATAGCAACTTACTTCGCGACGCACGATGGACTTGAGATCCATCTCTTCAATCAACTGGTCGACCGACAACTTGTTCGGGAGATCGGACTTGTTGCCCAACACCAACAGTGGGATGCCGTCTAGGCTTGGTTTGTCTAATAAGTCGTGCAATTCTTCTGTTGCGACCGGCAAGGCTGCGTGGTCCGCAGCGTCGACGATATATCTATTCAAGTCAATTATCCTACTCTTGTGAGTTGACATTTTCATGTTGGTGGGCTTACACTATAGCATTTACCCCACGACAATATCGCTCCCACATCGGTCGGAATCGCGGTTGACCTCCCAAATCCCAACTTTCACCAACAAAGTCAGCACACTGTCGGACGACGCTAGAAAATGCAAAGGGACGAACCATTTCAACGTCACATGGCCCTTCTGGACCTTTTTTGTGTTAAAGCCAATAGTGGGTATGGAACTGCAGGGGGGGATCAACGCGTTAGTCTTGACTCGTGAGGGGGTCCCGATTCAAGGTTTCCCTTGTGACCGATTTGATGTCCACTATCACGGTTACACCCGGATTGGCTGGAATGGGGACTTACTCGATTGTGAATTCTCCTCCCTGTGGGTTGATGTGAGTAGAGTTCAATAGGTCGACAGGAAGAAAGAAAAGAAAGAGAAAGACGTACAGCTAAAACACGAAGCAACGAGGACTTGCCGGCGTTCTGGAGACCGATCATGGTGACATCCATTTCAGTGGCCCTACAAGAACAAGAGACGAACGGTCATTAGCCGGTTGATCAATAGGCATGGCGAGTTGACTTTGATAGCATGCTTCTGGCTCGTGCGGGATATGGGTCGACCCGTGTCCAGCCATCGGCGCCATCTCCGCGAGTTGATCCATTTTATTTTCTGGATATGAAAGAGAGCTGGTGACGTATGGACACAGACAGACTTACCAAAACATGCGCAACAGCCAGTCATAGATGGTTCGAAAGATGCCGGCCATGATGATGGAGTGAGTTGGGAGCGGTCAAGGAAAGAAGAACAAAGGTAAGGAAGAATGAACGACTAGTAAAAATAACGATGATATCTCAAAAAGACGCAATCCGAGTAAGCAGTAATAGTATTGCTGATAGTATGGTCGATGCTCGTTGGAGATTCGGCAAAATCGCAATCTTTGATGCAACCAAGACTTTCTTTTCTTCCCCCTCCATCGGCTGACCAGCAGGTCCGAGTTGAGTGCGATCGAAAGTGAATGAGTATTCCGAGCAGAATTATCGATTATTGATTATTGATTAAGTAGTGTGGATGTATGGCGTAGAAGGTTTAAGTCCCAGGTTCGCTAGGTAAGTGGATGAGTTCTTGTTGGAGGACGGGAAAGTCTTTGGTTGACGAAAAAGGCCAAGTGGGGTGGCTGCCTCTGCTTTTAGGCCTCAACGCGGTTTCTTCTTCTACAATCAACAATCTACTATTTTGACATCTATTATTGTACGCTATTGAGTAAATACTATACTGTCCCGTTAGAGAAATAGTGGCACATTCCTTCTCATCCAAGTCAATGTGGAAAATTCTCAAGGCGCACATGACCGATCGGAGAACAAATGAATGCTTTGATTAGTGCTACTCTAGTACAGTAGTTTATCATTAATCATTTTACCATGGAGAAATATGATTGATTTTTGGAGTATGATGGGTCATGTCAATACTTTATTGTACGCCGATTGGCTAAACCGTTGCAAATTCTGGCTGTCTGCCTGGGCTATTGATATGTTTATCCAGAGACTAGGGACTAATAGGATATGCACGACATCACGTTGGTGTTTAGCAGCTCGCACAGACTAGAGCTAAGGATCGGATAAGTTACGGTGTACAGGTAGTATAGCACTATATAGGCAGCTCATAAAGTGAGTCTGCCTTGTAGCCTAGAATTATATTGTGCAAGGTACACCGGGATTAAACAGATTGCAAGGCTGCAAGGCACCGATTACGGTAGGAAAGTTGGCTGTCATCCACTCAGATTCTATGTCATTCATAACTGCACCTTCCTATCACTACGTACGCCATCGCACCATTCCAGACTGTCACTATCCTTGCATGTAGTCGACCTACGGCTTGTCAACCAACAAGCTTAAACATAGGTAACGGCAACCTCAGATGAGCTTGGAAGAGAGACAGATGTTAGAACTTGACCATTCTGCTCAATATCAATCAAATCAGCTCCATCGGTGCCAACGGATTCACCATTGGAAAGACCAGCCGAGGCAGAGGTAAAAGTGACCGTTCCAAAGTTGTCAAGGGTCACCAAGCTGCCGCCAGACTCATAATCCTCAACAATCCATTCAGCATTCTGACCTCCAAGAGCAGAGGAAGAGTCAGGTGCAGTTAGGTCCTGGTTAACGGTCTGGCCGGTACTCAAGTTCTCGATGGTGGCGGTTCCGGAAGTGCTAGAGCTGGCCACAACAGAAACAGCAATGGTGTCTCCGGCATTGATGTCGATGCCGGAAAAGTCATAGGCATAGTCCGGGTACCATTCGTACCAAGCGTCAAAGGAGGCAGCACCGCTGGAATCAACACTAAAGTCAATGCCGGTCTGAAGAATGGCAGCGCTGTAGGTGTCGCCATCAATACCGACCCAGGCGGAGGATGAGCCTGCTTGGCCGTTGACAGCCTGAGGAGTTGGGACGGTGAACTGAGCAGACACGGAGGTGAAAGTGGTGCCTGATGGAGGCGAGGTCAACACGGCGCCAGACCAGTTAGAAGAATAGTCAACATTGGTATTATTGGTCTGCTTGGGGTGCGATAGGCGGTTGCGTCCAGCGACACGGGCAGCAAGGCCATGGCCTGAAGGTGCAGCAAATGCACCTGCTGCAAAGAGAGCAACGGTAGCAGCAGTGAACTTCATGTTTACGTTCAAGACTGACAAGAGGTTTGATAATGATATCAAGAAGGTCTGGGCAGATGAGGAAGTGTTGTGATTGTGTTAACGAAAAAAAGTCTGATCGCATGGCTGCAGCCCAGCTTATATACTTCTCTACGTCCCTACAAGTCTGACAACAACCAGGATGTCATTTGCAATTCAACACTAGAAGTGCGAATGGTTACATCGACAGATGTCTGCCAGCACGTCTTCCAGTCACCGAATGTTTAATTGACAGACGACAGAGTCACGATTCGGATTCGGATTGGTTACCGTCTCGACTTCTCCTCATCGCATTCGACAAACGCCATTACACACTGTTTCTAGATCACTTTTGTTTTGTGCTCATGCAGAGATAGTCGTAGATGTCATATTGTTCAGCTGTGTTGAATACGGGATCAGATGTAGCATTGAGCAGACCTTGACATGGTATTCTCGGGATCTACTCACGTTCCTACACCTGGTAATTTGACATAAAGCCTTATGATAGGACGTGAATGTGCCGACAATATATCAGGCGCCGTCGACTTTGAGCAAGGTTGTTCAAAAAACAAATATCTCGTCAACCGGAGCATTTTATTGGAGGTCCACAATGCTTTCTGTCAGTCACCATCGTTTCGTCTACTACATAGTAGTATTTCTAGTCTATAGGAGGTAATTGATCGACCACACAAACAAACTTAAGCACCGTCAGCACTGCTAAACCTCCCAGATGGCGCCATCATTGTTAGCCTCGGTCTAAATGGACGGCTTGCCGGGAGACAATAATATGATCGACAAGAAAGATGTGCTGGATGTAACGCTTGGTGCAATCATCTGGATGTGTTTTCGCTTTCATGCTGGATGCAAGTAAAGAAAGTAGTCATGTGTACATGAGGTAGAGTGGGTGTACCAGTTGACAGAGTTCGTTTGAACCACTGATTACTATGTATTGATGGCGTCGCTAGCTGGTGAGGCCAAGGGAAGCATGGTATTACGAAAGTACCGCGACTTCGAATTTTCGAGTGAGCAGTATTTTATGATAAATCCAATTTTCGACTCTCATGACTTTGGAATGATGAAAGCATTAATGTTTCGAAGATGAAGAAGACGAACACACCAAAACGGAAAGAGCGGATGACAAATAGAGAACAACATCACGTGAAGTCTCTGGGCATGACTGGACAACAACAGCTCTATCAGCACGTGATGATAACAGTCCGATCCACTCTAAAAATTTCCGGAAGGAAAAAGTCGAGATGGCTTCATCCATCAATGTCGACGAGAGACATTCAACCTATTGATTGAATGCTCTCAGGCCATTTCTCTTCAATCACACCCGAAAAGAAATGGTCTGTTGGTCGATGAGATAAACAACTTGTTTTCCGCTGCATTGCATTCTGTTTTTGCATTGACAACATAGAGAAAGATTTTTCCGACTGGATCATTCGCAAAATGGCTCCTGCGCCTACCGACACAGAATGGACCGTAGGGTTCGATACCCTTCGGCGAGAAAACCTTTTCAAGAATCCGCCAAAAGATAAATCCCCTTATCCCATGCTACAGGCGGCCATCCGACCTCACGTCGATTCATTCAATGCGCTTTTCGGAGAAAGCAAGATCATGGAGGAGGCTCTGGCGGATATGGGAACCAAGACGTTCTTGGATGGCGATGTTGAGACTCCAGAACAGCGAAAATTACGAAAGGCTCGAGGTGGCGCACCTCCACAACGCAACAGTCTTAATTTGCGCATCACGGAGCTGTTCCTTGACAAGGCCGTGCTGCCGCCAACCAACAAATTCATCCCTCGTAAGGCTACTACTGCTAATCCTGATTATCGCAACATATACCCTGCCGAATGCAGAGAACGACATGCCACATATCGAGGACGATTGCGCGCAAGGCTTCAATACCAAGTCAATAATGGAGAATGGCGCGAGTCCGTACGAGAATTGGGTCAGGTACCGATAATGTTAAGATCTAACAGATGCCATTTGGAATCGTTCAGCCCCCAGGAACTCGTTGATCATAAAGAAGAGTCCGAAGAATTGGGTGGTTATTTCGTTGTCAATGGAAACGAGAAGCTTATCCGAATGTTGATCATGCCCAAGCGCAACTTCCCTATGGCCATCAATCGACCTTCCTTTCAAAAACGTGGTGCCGGTTTTACCAGCTTTGGTGTGCAGATTCGATCCGCTCGACCCGATCAAACTACACAGACCAACGTCCTTCATTATCTGTCCGATGGAAATGTCACATTCCGGTTCTCATGGCGAAAGCAAGAATATCTTGTACCTGTCATGCTGATTTTGAAGGCGCTTGTCGAGACCAATGATCGCGAAATCTTTGAAGGCATTGTCGGCAATGCCTCATCAAAAGGATCTGCCAACACTTTCGTCACCGACCGAGTTGAACTGCTGCTTAGAACATTCCATGGTTACAACCTCTATTCTCAAGCAGATGCCAGGCGTTACCTTGGCAGCAAGTTTCGACCTGTCATATTTGCACCAGCTACGTGGTCGAACGAGGAGGCTGGTGCTGAGTTTCTACGCAAAATTGTGTTACCACACCTTGGCAACCAAAACGTGACGGCCACACAAGACTACGACAAATTTAAACTGATTCTTTTCATGATCCGAAAGCTCTACGCCTTTGTTGCTGGCGACTGTGCCGCGGACAATCCTGATGCTGTTTCTAATCAGGAGGTCATGCTTGGTGGTTACGTTTACGGCATGTTGTTGAAAGAAAGGCTTGAAGAATGGTTGTTGAGTTTTGGCAGACTCCTTAGGGACTGGTCATACAAGGGCGGCAACCTCAAATTTACGGATCCTTCCTTCGAAAAGGACTTCATTTCCAAGGTTATCAAACGCACAAATGAGAACTTAGGTGGAGCTTTGGAGTATTTCTTGTCGACGGGTAATTTGGTCAGTCCAACTGGATTGGATATGCAACAAGCCACTGGTTTCACTGTTGTTGCTGAAAAGATTAACTTCTATCGATTTATTGCTCACTTCCGCATGGTCCACAGAGGTACCTTCTTTGCTCAACTCAAGACCACGACAGTGCGTAAGCTGTTGCCCGAAAGTTGGGGGTTTATGTGTCCTGTCCATACTCCTGATGGCTCTCCTTGTGGATTACTCAATCATTTGGCTCACAAGTGTCTTATTTCGACGAACGACTTGGACGTTGCGCATATTCCCCGTGTCTTGGCGCAATTGGGCATCAAGACCGAATCATCGGCTGAGGTTACTGAGTCTGTCTGTATACAATTGAACGGACGTATTATCGGTTACTGCTCACCAAAGCAGGCTAAGATGATTCACGACACCCTACGGTTCTGGAAGGTCGAGGGTACGCACGATATTCCCAAAGAACTTGAGATTGGCTACATCCCGAACATGAACGGTGGCCAGTACCCCGGTATTTACATGTCCTCACAACCAGCACGAATGTACCGCCCTGTTAAATATTTGGCACTCGACAAACTCGACTATGTGGGGCCTTTTGAGCAGCCGTTTATGGAAATTGCTTGTTTGGAGGAGGACATTCGTTCCGGCCTCTCAACACACATCGAGTTCACACCAACCAACATGTTTTCAATTATTGCTAACATGACACCATTCTCTGATAACAATCAGTCGCCCCGTAATATGTACCAGTGCCAGATGAGTAAGCAGACTATGGGTACTCCGGGAACCTCAATCGCCTACCGCACCGACAACAAGTTGTACCGACTCCAGACCGGTCAGACACCAATCGTTCGATCACCATTATACAACGCCTATGGCTTGGATAACTTTCCTAACGGGGCAAATGCTATAGTCGCCATAGTCAGCTATAGTGCTTTTGAGTGCGTTATTTTAACCCTCCCATATTGAAGATAATCGGTTACTAACCTGTGATGCTGGGCAGTATGGACGATGCTATGATCATCAACAAGTCCTCGCATGAGCGTGGATTTGGACATGGAACGATTTACAAGACTAAATTCTACAATCTAGACGACAAGGATTCGCGACGAAACAAGTCTAAACGCGAGATCAGCAAGCTTTTCGGATTTGCTCCAGGCGCCGAAATCAAGGCTGAATGGCGCACCACACTCGACGAGGATGGTCTGCCTCACCCTGGTGTCAAGATCAAGGAAGGTAGCTATGTTGCAGCTTGGTATAGCGTCCGATACGATGCCGGTAGTGACTCGTATGTAAACGTTGACGGACAAACTCATTTCCTCAAATACAAAGATGCAGAAGAAGGATACATCGACACCGTCCGTCTTGTTGGAAATGAGAACGGAAACGAGCCACTACAAGCGATTAGTGTCAAGTTCCGTCTCCCGCGTAAACCCATTGTGGGTGACAAATTCTCGTCCCGACACGGCCAAAAGGGAGTATGTAGCCAGCTGTGGCCTGCGATCGATATGCCTTTCTCCGAGAGCGGTATCATGCCTGATTTGATCATCAACCCTCACGCTTTTCCTTCTCGTATGTGCCTCTTACAACCGATCCTCCAACCAGGCAATTCAAGCTAACGAAACAGGTATGACAATCGCCCAAATCATCGAATCCATGGCCGGCAAAGCCGGCGCTCTTCACGGTCACCCGGTAGACTGCACACCCTTCCAATTCAACGAAGAAAACACCGCAGCCGACTACTTTGGCCACCAACTCCGCAAATCAGGCTACAACTACCACGGCAATGAACCCATGTATTCCGGAGTAACTGGCACAGAGTTTGCCGCCGACATTTACCTCGGTGTCGTCCACTACCAACGTCTCCGACACATGGTTAACGATAAATTCCAAGTCCGTACCACTGGCCCCGTGAACAGCGTCACCGGACAGCCGGTCAAGGGTCGTTCGAAGGGTGGCGGTATCCGTGTCGGAGAGATGGAGCGTGATTCCTTGCTGGCGCACGGTTGCGCGTTCTTGCTGCAGGATCGATTGATGAACTGCTCTGATTCTACGCGTGCCTGGATCTGTCGTGACTGCGGCTCATTCTTGTCTACTCAGGTTGCCGTTTCCTCCACTGGTTCGTCCGCTTTGACTGCCGGAGCAAGCAAAGCCGCTCTTGCAGCAGCTGCAAAGGCTACACCAAACAACCAAGTCATCACATCCAATACTTCGCGCATAAGTTCCGTGAACGCTCTCGGCGGCACAAACGGTATCGTGCGATGCCGTCGTTGCGCACGCGAAGCTGTCTTCGACGATTCGCGCGCCATGATCTGGGAGGATGGCGATGGCAACCGCTTCGTTGGTGGTGACAATGTTACCGTTGTCGTTGTGCCGGGCGTGTTGAGGTATTTGGACGTCGAGTTGGCGGCTATGGGTATCCGTCTGAAGTTCAAGGTTGATCACTAGATAGGTCAAGATGAGAAAAAAGTTTATCTGTTTCGTGGATGAATGAGTGTATACTCTGTCATGTCATTTTTGGGCAATGGGTTGTTTTCTCTTTTCTATTGATCCTTTTGTGTTGCATATAGCTAGGCGTTTACGCCATTGTACTTAGTCAAATTGTCAATTTTTGTGTCAATACACACCGGTTTTGTCTACATGTGTGCGATCTACTTTAGACGATCTAATAGTATCAAGTCTCAATTTAGGACTATCGACAAATCTAAAAAGACATTGATGGAAGAAATCCGAGCGTACATGCGTTGGCCGAAATTTAAAGAAATTACACCTCGGCAGTAACGTTCGTGAATTCTCCCTTTTCCAACTTGGTCTTCCAGAAAAGGGGGTCGGTATCGTTGAATCCATGGTGAACCCATCCTTCTTCCTTGACATGGTACAAGTTGATGTAACCACCAGAGTATGCGTCACGGTGAGTAGCAGCAAGGATACTTCGTCGGCCGAGTTCGAGGGCTTCGTCGGTGGAGAGGTCGTATCTGTATTCAGCGTCTAGCACACCGTAGGCGAAGGTTTGACCGGAGCCAACACAGAATAGGTTTCCGGGGAGACGGGTGCCGTCGGAATCAATATAGTAGAGAGCTGGGCCTTCTTGGGGGGTCATCTGGTCGGTTTGTTAGCCTGTTGATTTCATCGTCTGTGGTTGAGGTAAACGAACTCCTGCAAGCATAGTACCCATGCCCAATCCCATGGACTTGTAAGAGTATGTCAAATTCGCCAAAATCTTTGATGCTGCTGCGACAGTGATTCTTCGCTTATGTCGGAGTTCTGCGATAATTAGTCACCTAGCAACAAACCAGACAGCGAGGTCGTCATACCATGAAGAGTACATTGCTCAGCCAAATATCTCAACCAGTATTGACAATCCTAAAATCTCATCTTAGCATAATCATCGCAAAAACACCAAAGAGGTACCTACAGCTGCAGTACCAGCCATAGTTCCCAACAATCCGGGAACAGGAGCATCCTGATCCTTCTTTAAAGCCATATTCAACCTTGACACGGGAATGACCTTCTTTACTGTCTGACTGGCGATCCAGTTACCGGCCGTAGCTCGGGAATCTGTGGCGACAATCTACCGTTCGTGTTAGCCATATTTTCTCCTTTCTGGCGTCCGTGGATGAATTCAAGTGTAACGTACGATTCCGTGCTGAAATCTGAAAGCTAAGGTTGTCGTTCCGTGGGCGAGTTTGATGGGTGCGCTTGGGTTCGAGTGGTCATCTGTCATTGCACGGAGGAAGGACGCGGGCTATAAGATAAACAATGTTCAGTTTTATGTTCATCCCAAATAGATGTATGATACGAGCTGCAGATAAATTGAATGCTTTTCTTGCAACGAATGCATCGCATCACGATCGCACACCCAAATATCAAAAGATAATCAGAGATTTCGTCAGCAACATACCTTTGCAATAGGAGGAAGGTCGAATTTCAGCGACAACGACGGTGTGCATCTAAGGTCACGCTGCTCTTCTTCGGAGTACATTGCATCTTGAAACGGAGAGCTGGAGTACTTGGCGACTAAGGTATCCATCTTGAAGTCGTCTGCGGGGGTGCCGGTTTATTGGTATGAGAGATCAAAGAAAAGGAGAAGATTCTGAGATTATTGCGATGAAGAAAGAAATGAATATTATACAGGGGAGCTGTAGTGGAGGTGGTGGTAGATGCTGAGATGATAGCTCCTGCTTAGAAGGAAGCTCCGAAGCTTCGCGTCACAGCTGCCTGATCGGTCACGTGATTGATTAAGTAATAAGATTTTGCTCGAAGATCGTAACCCTAAAGCCCTAACAATAACTTACCGTAAGCTCAGCCCTAATTTACCTCTCAAACATGTTCGGAGTTAACTTATAACAAGATCGAAATTATGTAATTAAATGAATATGGTAGAGAGAATTTTGAATGTGATAGAGCTACAACCGACACCTCCAAACTACCCTCGTATGCTCTCCTCTATCTTACTTTCATAGTGGAGATATAAACATTTTAGATATATGTCCCAAAGTCATCTCAAAGAAAGCGTATCATTTCAAATAATTAAATTACAGCAATCTAAGGAATAGTATCATGTCATATCATATCGTATCAGATCATTGAAACAAAACGTACGTCAACGCATCAAACAAGGATCGTTACAAGCATAATCTCATAAACAAAAGAAACCATACAAGAGTATACAGTAATAACCAAATCAACTCTATGCTGTTGCAATAGTAGCCGACTCGTTGGGATCGGTGGCAACAGACTCTCTGTTCCCAAGAGCTTCAGGCTCAACAGCAGGACGAGCTTCAGTTTCTGTGGCTCCAACTCCGTCCGCGACTGGGGCTACCTCTGGTTGTTGACCTGCGGCTACAGCCTCTGGTTTCGGTACCAAGTTCTGACCTATTTCACTTGCATTGGACGTGATAGGGTAAATGGACGGTTCCCAAGCGCGCAAATCGCCTTCGGCATCGTTGAGAATGTCTCGCGCTGCGGTACTTTGCTCATAAGGTTTGACGGCATCTCCCGGAACGATGGGTGTGTCATCAAGGAGATTGACTAGGCGGCGTGCATGCTGGGCGAGAATGATTTGCTTCTCGGCGCGTTCGATAATAGCGGCTGTATGGACGTCAAATGCTTCTTTGACTTTTTGTCGTGTCTAGCAGTTGTTAGTAGTCGGCCATCATCATGGAAGCAAGGAATACATACCACATTCGACAGCTGCGCCTCAGCAACCAAATTCTGCGCCTCAGCTCTAACAAGCTCTTGCTCCAAGGTAACAAGCTTTGTATTGGAGGGATCCTTGTACTTCAGCTTCTGAATCTCGTCCGAAATCTTGTTTCGTGAATCCCTCGACGGCTGCACCGAACTCTCCGTATTCCGAATCTGCTTCAATACGCCACGATATTCCTCCAAGTTCTGCGCAAAAATATCCTCTTGTTCTCCAATCTCGGATAAAAGCACACCTAGCTTATCTGAGATATCAGACACGCTTTCGTCGCCGGTAGCTTCGCCCCAGTCCGAGAGCTGAGACGCAATGGAGACTCGCTCGCGGCCGGCAGACTCGTAAGCGCCGATGACGGAATTTTCGTTTTTGATGATTCTGTAGAGCTTCTTACTGAGTTCAGGCTGTTGGTAGCCGCGCAGAGTGGTCATGGAGAAGCGATGGCGGTTGCTGGATTTGTCCTTGCCATCTTTCTTGGCGGAGCGTATGGAGAGTGAGCGGTTCCTAGGTATGCGGTTAGCTTTCTCGTCAAATATCACGGAACAAAGAAAATTACATTGTGATTGTTTCGTATAATTCTTTTCGACTATCTTAAACTGGTATGATTGACTGGGTATAATTATTAGCGAAAATAGTCCAGGTGAAAGTTAGGGGGCATATAAGAGACGCAGAACAGTGACGTTTGAGGCGTGAGGGGCGATCGCTTCCCCCCAAAAGTGGAGCTGACGTCATCCACAGCTTCCCACTCGTTCGTCTTCTCTCTTACTCTCTTACAACAACACTAAGCACAACTTGAACAAATGATACAGTTCAATTCAGATTGACCAATAACACCAAACGAAGCGAAACTACCAATCCCAGGGTATCAAGTATCAATCCGTATACCAGCCAACCCCGACGCTCAAATGCCAAATCGACACAGACAAAACAGACCATAGACTCCGAGCCTCTAACTATAGTACATAAAACCAAAAATGCCAACTCCAACAATGACTCGAATCAGAGGAATACAAAGAGGCTATGGAGACCGATCGATAATGCGCACGTCCATGTATCGACCGTCTCCTCCTCGCCGCCGGTATTCGATGTAAGTCGGCTCCCGCTCGTACCGTTCAGGGATCACTTCAAACGAACGAGTATGGCGCCGGGTGCGAGTGATTGTCGTATATGACGAGCGTGAATAGCGCGGCGATGGTGACGGCGAGCGCGTGACAAGACGGTAGCACGGTGAATTGTAAGAGTAATAATATGTGGGAGTAGATGGGAGTTCGCGGTAGACGCGACGGCGCTGAATGATCCGGACGGATGATGAGGGTTCTTCGATCTCTTCGTACCAGCACATGGTGGAGGTTTTGTAGGATTTTGTTATGCGGATATAGTGGTAATGTGGTGGTTGTAGATGTAGTAAGGAAGAAGATGTAGGTGGCTTCTTATGTTTGCCTGAAGGCTGGTGAGGGTTTTAATATTGATAGGACTTTCCACTGAATGAGACTGAAGCAAGACAGTTTAACGTGACCATCCACCATAAACAATGGATTAATGGTTCTTTATATACAAAATGACTCTCTCACCAAAACGCACAGTAGCGCGTGATACTTGACCAAATCGGAAAATTAGCTACTAAGACCCTCGCATGACATGCATTGTACCTGACAGTATGACAAACTGAACAGCCACACTTTTTTGTCTACCGAACAAAAGAAATGACTATGTCATACAAGACTTGTCCAGGATAAAAATGGCCGAATCCGAGTTTGAGGCTGAATCGTCCGTCGCGAGAGGTCAAAGAGGCACAACCGGAGAACTGCGCCACGATGTCAACACTATCAATAACTTCATGCATATTTATAGCGACACCGGCAAATCATACATCGTCATTAAGAAAGTCTATTAGATTTCTTCACATTAGAACCTATCATAATACATTTCTCTGGATGTTAGTCTTGCTTGGAGGGGAAGTGTGGCTGGTGCCTGCCTCGGTGGTGAGGCACACTGCCTTTACAAACACTCCTTCCACGACTTTCTCCTTCTTTTATCTTCTCTCTTCTCCCTTTTCTTTCAGATTCCATCACACAAGATGAGATCATCTGCAGACGTGGATTGAGATTTCATGGACCAGACGCTTGGACAAAAACAATCACCGGTATTCCATATGGCTACCCCAAATGATTCTCGTCTATGCCGCCTCCCAACAGAAATCCTCATCGAAATAGTCAAGCTCCTGCCGAATTTCTCGTCACTCTGGGCACTTATGAGTGCTTTTCCTCGTTTTGAGTTCCTTTTTCTGCAGCTACCATTCGAAATTTTCGACACTTTCCTCGAAAAGGAGACGCCGCCATGCATCCAAGCCCTTATGCGAGTCGCACTGGTTACACGCATCTCACCATCATGGTTCCCTGATATCAAGGATGTCACAAAACACATGTCGAGACACAAAACCTTTGACCTCTATTTCGAAGCCTTGCCGCAACACATTGAAGAGCCGCACTTGACCTCAAAGGTGGCTTTTGCGGTACGTGACATGGTCGAAGTGGCGCATAAGATCCATGCCGTAGCGCATGCCTGCCTGGAATATTACGTGAGAAAGTCGATGACCATAAAGCCAGAGCGCTGGGATGCAAGTCTTCCACCATTTGACCATTCGCAACTGGGAGGTCAGCCTCAAGGTCTTCCTATTCAGCCCACGCCTACCGGTCCCCCGACTTACGAGGAAGAGCAGATACTAATCAGACTCCTCTGGCGCCTGCAAGTCTTTACTGACTTACGCGCTGCTGCTAAACAAGACTATTTGCGGCATTGGTCAGTAGACGAATGTGGCAAGGTCCAAACCTGGAATGTCGATTGGCTGTTCCACTACTTTACCCCGAAATCAAACAGAGAAGAGTTATTTCGCACTTATATTGACTCCTGGAACCCATATTGCGAGAAAGAGCAATTTAGAAGCTTGATGGATTTTATCGTCGATATCACAGCGGCAAAGACGGAATATCAGCCGGGTTTACGAGAACTAGAAGCGTTTATGAAAGATCTGCCTGTAGACGTATACGAGAGTGGTTATCACGTAACCTGTCTACCACCTAAACCCATACTAGAGATTAGGAGAGGGCCAATAACAATTGACGATCTGCTTCCAGCAACTTTAAGCATCGACGAAATGGTTGAAAAGCCTCCCGCGGGATGGAGAGTCTATCACCAAATGACCACAGATCATAGATATTATTATTCGGGTGTACCGTTTGAGCCTTATCGGAAGTATGGATTTGCGTTTTGGCAGGCTGAAAGAATGGGCAACTTGGGGTTTAAGGAGTACGACGGGTGGGAAGATGATGGATCGATTCTGCGGGTGTGTTATTTTGTGTGGCAGAGTATTTTGAGGGGTGTTGATGTTGTGAGTGCCTACAGCTATCGTCATGTGGTTACTCAATGATGAGTCTGATCATGTCACTGTGGTTATTCTCGAATGAAATTGAAGTGCATCAGCCTTGTTTGTGCTACCTAAGTGGACCATGCTAGCTGGACTCTGCCTCGCTGTGTCTTACCGTTCGTATCACCTTCAGTCAACAGTCCCTTGATCATAGGAGCCTAAAGCATATATCTGAAATTCTCTCCATAATTCTCCTCCGCCGTCACAAAGCCACTCTTCTGCTGCGCCTGCCTCTCCTTTTTCGTGCCATACAGTCTGTCCAACTTTTTGTTCTCAAATACCAACAACGTCCTCAATCCCAGGCAGAGGAACAGGTTGAAGAACATGAATGCGGCACAGATCCATAGTCCACGTGCATATCGGGGAGAGTCCTTCGAAGGAAAGGAGTTTGTGCCGAGAAAAGGGCCGCATTGGCCGATGAAGTTGAGCATGACCATTGCCATGCCGCGGCGGGTATCGGAGCCTTGGTTATCTATCAAATTTATTAGGTCACGGACGTAAAGGAAGGGGAACGGGGAAGCGTACTCAAAACCCAAGATAAAATGTTACCAATAGCAGGAAAGACGCCACTAGCAGCAAGAAATACGCCAAAGTATCGGACACCCACGGGTTCCGCAGCAGCAATAATGACGTATCCCACCGCACCAACAGTCGACAAGACTGCAATAACGAGACCTCTTTGCTCGAGTTTATCGGCAACCCAAGTTGAGAATATGGTAACCAGAAACGAGAGGAAGAAGGGCGGTGCTTCGAGTCCCTGAGCGTTCACGGCTGTGAAGCCCATGTCTTCCAGGATTGTGGGCAGGAAGACGGGGAGAGAGGAGTAGCTGACGTTGCAGCTGAAATACATGAACTAGAAGAAGTCAGTTCTCTATACTTCGGTTGTGGCGAGATTAGAGATGGGAGGCGTACAGCAGTAAACCAAGGCTTGGGGTCAAGCAACGTCTGCCCAATATCCTTCCAATCAATCTTGTGCGACGCAATCTCCTCTCCACTTCTCCTCAAACTCCTCGCCTTCGCAACCTCCCTCTCTTCCTCGGTCAAAAATTTAGCTTCTCCCGGTGAATCAGGCAGGAAGAAATACGCAAACGGTACAAACGCCAAACTAGGGAGACCTTCCACGAGAAACAAAAGTCGCCAGTTCGCGATATGCGGATGTCCGGATGTGATGCCGTATGCTAGAGCGCCAGCAAAAGTTGCTGCGAGAGGAGCTGCAGACAAGAATATACCGCATCGAAGACCAAGCTCACGACGACTGTAGAAGAAAGATAGTAAGTATGGGACACCGGGACCAAAACCAGCTTCTGCGGCGCCCAGGAGGAAGCGGAGGGCCATCATTCCGCGCCAGCTTTGGGCTGCGGCTTGACAAGTTGCGATTGCGCCCCTTCTTTTCTCAGCTTCTTCTAGATGTTGTGGTGATATATGGTACATACCATGCAAACATGATAAATGCAGCCCATTGATGCGGCCGAAGGACTTTCCACATCAGAGCTTGAAACTCGAATAGAGTGTAAGAGATGTAGAAGATAGTCAAAAGCCAGGCGTATTTTCCGCTGTCCAGGCCTAGGTCTGTCTTCATTCCCGCAATTTCGGCATTTCTGTCCATTTTCTTTAGAATGGTTCTTCTTCGTTCCAGTACGCAAGTAAGGCAAATGACATACCCGATGTTACTCCGATCCAAATACGAGAGCAAAACTAGATAGCCATCATCAATTAGCGCAAGATGATCCTAGCGATAAAGGAGTGGCGGATGTACATACACATAAACCCAGTAATCACCGGAAGCCGACGATCAAGTTTTCTGAGAACACGCTTTTCGATAACCGGGTCAATCCCAGCCGTGATAGGCGCCAATTCTGCATCGCGCTCAACTTGCGCGTCATTCGGTTTTTCAACTTCGGGATGAGGAGCCGGCGCTTCTTCTATGTAGTTATTTTCCTCACCGGTCGCCATTTTGCTGTGGGATAAGCTCGAATGCTATGAGCGTGGGGATTGGAACAGGGTCCGGGGGCCGGGCGAAATCCGGGGTAACGAGTACAATCTTGTTTATAAGTCAAAGGAAAGTACAGTGTAACCACTAACCGGTTACAAGTAAGCTAAAAGCCTGACGTCTGGTCACACAGTCGGGATATTCAGGAAAGAAAATCCTTTGTCTCGAAGCGCGTGGGAGCGAACGCACTCTTAAATGCGTCTAGTAGGCTAGTCAAATACCCCGAACCACTCGCTTGACCTTAGGCGCACAGTACGGAAATAAAAGCTCTTTAGATCCTTAGTCGGTGAGTGCGCCGAATGGGAGATGGTCACGCGTTAAGCTAAAAAGCTTCTCCATAAATGGCTTCGATATACAGAGAAAAAGCAAAATGGAGAGACTTGATTGGGTTCGGGGTGCTAAACCCTTTTTCCGGAATGTGTCGATCATTTTCCGTGTTGAGGAGAGGGTAAATGTTTTCCCATCTCAACTCTTCTTTATAAATTGCGACAATTTGAAGAGTCATCTCAAATTTAATGAGTTGTCTGTGTCCTCATGAATGAATCCGCAACAAAGCATCTCGCACCGAGTCTCAACTCCCAGGTACGAAGGTTAGGCTTTGTTGTATCTGAATCGAGATCAGATTGGGGTTACACGGTTACATCCTTTCAAGCTTGCGAAAATACCCCGCAAAGTTCGGGGAAATAATCCTTCGAGAAAAAGCTGTGCGATCTGATCCCTGGACAGTAATCGAATCATTGGCTGGTTAATCACTCCTTTGATCTAGACTTGTCACATGTCGGTGGGTGGGATTAGGAACGTGGTTTTCAATGTTCGAATTCTCCAATCTCAGATTCAGGTCAATAAAATCCATCCCGAGAAGTAAAATTGTGACTTGTCTTAGTCATCTAGTCGTATTTCAAACGGTGTATTTGATTATTGTACACTGGATAAAAGCTGGAAAATAATTGAAGTTCGGGGATCTCTGATAGGTGGAATGGAAGACGGACGTATTCCTTATCTTCACAAGGATCTGGTATATTAGCACTCTTGTAGATTCTGTAGAACAAATTCTAGACCAAACTTGGAACTTACAAACATCAACAAACCATCACTATGCGAACGCCGGCCCGCCCTCGCTTCCCTCCACCCATCATCAAATTCGCCGAGCGAGATGATATCCCAGAATTGGTGCGCGTCTGGCTTGCAGCCGAGAGAACCGATCTTCTCATGTTCTATCACTTCCCCACAGAAGAAAGCAGATCGGAGTACGCCAAGGAAGTAATCAAACAATTCGAAGATAACTTCGATAAGCCACATCTTCTCGTGTTAAAGGCTGTGGATCCTGAGACAAAGCAGATCACGGCTATGGCCGTTTGGCAGAAGAGGGGATACAAATTCAGTCCTCAGTCGGATGACATATTCACAGCTGGCGGTATCATTTTGAATAGGGTCTTGACGAGTAGCAGTGGCGGGATTGTCTCAAACACCGATTCAAAGTCGCTGGAACGCTATATTGCAAGCCAATTCGAGCATTTCTTGGCTTCATGGAGTCGTGATTCAAAACATCTGTACCTCGCACTTCTCATGACCGATCCTCGGTTTCAACGAAGAGGCATTGGGACCGCCTTGTTGGAATGGGGTCATAAATATGCCGACGAAGCTGGGATCCCAGCATTCTTAATTGCTTCCCCAGTCGGACATCCACTCTATCAACATGTCGGTTGGAAAGATGTCGAGTCGCCTTTGCGGATTGACATGTCTCAATGGGCAGCTGGTGCGCAAGGAGGCGATATGGGCTGGGGAGTGTACAGATACTACTATATGCTGCGCATGCCGAAAACGGCTGTCAGTTGAGTGACTGATCAATGTGGAAGAAGAACTTAGGAACAAATTGAGTCAGCTAAAGTCAAATTGATTGAGCATCATCTTGAATGCCTCAGGCATGAAGTTTTTGTTGTGGCCTTAGGCATTAGTGCATGGATGGTAGTTGTAGTCCGCCCGACTTCCGCATATCGACTTTTTGAGAGACTTCCAGTTCCGCGTCGCGTCCAGAGCAGAAGAAGTAGCTAGCACAAGTAGCTTGTCTATCTCGCCCAACCGCCATCGACGCTCACTAATTCATCTACAGAGTCCTCAGCGACTAGCTTCAAAATCATTGCGATTCTTCCCATTCGTTGTATCTCGAAATTGATCACACTTGCCCAACATGCAGGACCCGGCGGGTGGACTCCCCGGCCAGTTGGTGAGCTTTTCCGATTGCATCAAGACTCAGGACTGGACCTATTGCTGACAATCGTATCAATTTCAGGTGCCGCATATGCATTTGGTCTCAAGAAATCGATACCCAGCGATGACCGCCTTGCCGACCGAAACTGTCCTTGACTACCTGCTTGCTGCCCCCAAGGTCGTCCGCGAGATGTATCCCATGTCCTGGACATTCCTAGATGGTCCTCAAGATGGGACCACACTACTCACATGGCAGCCGCTTGGTCATTTGGGGACTACTTTCGCGAGTGATGGATACGTCTGGGCTGACGCAGAGCAAGCTTTCACTTTTGAGACCCGAGGCTACGTATGTTACTATCGCTCTGTACTTCGGGTTGATGCTAACGAACGATTCAAACAGACAATCGAGATGTGGGTTCAAAGAAGTGGCTATCACCCTCCCCAGGAAAACATTGCAAGTCACTCGCGCCGCCGTTATCGACTTGTCCCTTCCAAAGTCCCCCCCAATGCGCCTCAGCCTGATCCTTCGCTATGGATAGTCCATTACGCGCGCGCCGCCCAGAACGATATCATTCCCGCTCAGCGTATCCCGATTACTCCTCAAGTACAGACAACGCTTGCTCAGCGACGATTCCTACAAACTCAGGGTCAGCTCGTTCGCAAGGAGTTCATGTTGCACGATCGCAACAACTGGCCGACAATCACATTTCCGGCTCAGATGGGCGCACAAGGATTCGCACAGCCACAAGCATACTATGCCAATGCAGGCCCTGGTCGGCAGCCACCATCAGGTGCATACTATCCTCCTCAGCAACCTGGTGTGCCCGCCGGTCAAGCACCTGTAAAAGCGCCTCGCGGTCACCGTACATCTGCAGGCGCAGCGGCTGCAGCTGCAGCGGACTTTGCAATGGAGGATGAAGATGTTTCTACTGGCGATATGCTTGATATGCTCACTCCTCGTGAGATCAGCAAGATTCGTTATCAACAACATCACGAATGGATGGAGGAAATTTTCGCGTCGCCTTATACAATCAAACAAATTATACCCGTCGACCTCGGTATTGGCCGCAAAGGAGAGCTCGAATCGTTGACTACTGGCATTTTCGAGGCTCCTGTGTCATCGGCTCACTCCAAAGATGGCAAGGACAATACTACAGCTCTGCAAGGAGGCAAATTGGAACCGGAAAAAGCAGAAGAATTTGCCGATCGAGTCGCCAAGAAAGTCTCTGATATGACGGCAGAAATCGAGAAGTTGAAGAGGCGCCATGAACGGAGAATGGCAAAGATAAGCCGGATGACCGCGCTGAAAGAGGCTGAACTACGACTGCGTGAGGCAGGCGCCAATCCTTCCGAGACCGGACCAGAAATCTGGAGATTGGAAGGGCGTATTGACACTTCCAATGAAGAGGAGGCGCCTATCGAGGAGACTATCGAGGATATTTCACTCCGCATACCACGGTATCAGGTAGATGACGTCGTGAAAGACCTGGAGAAGACTTACGGCCGAGTTATCGTTCCAGCTACGAGCATCACTTGCGTTGAGAAAGGCGGCTTGCTGGAACGTATTGAGCCTACACCACAACCTGAAGATACAGCTGGGGCAGACGCAGACATTCTGATGGAAACTAGTATTTTAGATCAATTTGTTGCATCGTCTACGTCCACGCCTGGGCAAGTAGGTCAGCAGGCACCGATTTCTACAGCAGTTCCTGCTACACAACCAGTTCCTCAAGCCGGAGATGGAGACGTCGAGATGGGAGGTGCAGCAAATCTGCCCGGACAGCTGGGTACTGCTGCCGGCGAGACTGGGGAATGGGTAGTGGTAGGGAACGAGAATACTGGAAATGTTCCTGTTTCTACGGACAAATCGATCACGAATAATGCGTCTGGCGTGGAGACGAGCAATTTCGACGATGCAGCCAACTTCACCAACATGGACTCTGCAGGTGATGCGCTGGCTGCGTATGATGATCAGCATGACGGCTTGGATCTCCCGGATCTCGAAAACTCGGCTTTCGGAGATGCTTTTCACGCATCGGATCATGAGATGGGACATCATCCTGAAGACGATGAAATGTCGTAGATCATTCAATCTGTGAGTCTTGCTTACAGGCAGGAAATTTTCTCAGGGCTGTATTATGAGGCGTGCGGGTTGAAGTTTTTTTTTTCTGGGTTGGAGTTGAAGACTAGGGTTGTTGTGCCATGTTTCTAATATACCAAGTGAGGTGACTGATCTTGATTGAAAACCATAATCTATTTGTACAGCGCCTTGCAAGTGCGGCTTTACATAAGTTGCAACTCTTCGACTCTTTCTCAGCGCCACTCCCGCGGCCTAATCCATGCCAGGTTTAGCCTAGTATTAACGTAATCTACGACCCGCATGGAACGTTAAAATCTTGGTAAGCTACACTTAGCTTTGTACATAGTTACTCATATGTTCGTGACTAATGCCGTAGCTACATATCAAACTCTTTCTCGCGATTCGACCAAATTATGATTAAAGTATAAATTGAAGTATCATTATTTTTGGACGTTTCTCTTTGGGAAATCGGTGCGCAGTACAAAAAATACAGTGCTTGATTATACTATTGATCGTTCCTTTCCGGGCAATCCAGAATCACGTTGGCATTACACCATTGCTGCATTACAGCTATTTTCGAAATTTGAGACCTCGGAGCATTGGATTGATAGTTCCATTACAGAAGAAGATAGCTCTCAGCTTTATAAACACCCTGCCCTTGAAACTATGCACTCCATATCTATTCGTGCGAAGGCATCAACAGTGTGTGGCTTGGGGGCTTAGAGCGCTTAGTGCGGAATCAGACAGTTTCCCTGTACAGTACAGATGGTTACTCGAGTTTTGCGCTTAGATCTAGCGGGACCCGACGAGTGACAAGGCTACGCGAGGCTCAGCAAAGCAATAAAGCACAAGGCTTAGCGCAACATCTAACAACGAAATCGTGTTTTCTTGACTGGATATGTATTTCTGTTTGTCTACTCCTTCACGCCAATAGCGACTCTATGTAGCATGAACTGTTGCCTCCACTGGCCGTTGACTATACAACTCGACGATGAGCTAACCGCGTCTTCCTCTAGCAGCTTATACCGTGGCGTGGGTGTCTGCCCTGCCTCTCGAGTCAGCAGCGGTGGTAGAAATGCTTGACGAAAAACACTGTGACCCTCAGAGCTATAGTAGCAATACGGATCAGTATATTTTCAGCCAGGTAGGTAATCATAACGTCGTGATGGCATAGCTACTGTTGGGCCAGATGGGAAACAACTTAACCACTAATGTTGTAAGATGGCTTACAACTGTATTCTCATTAATTAAATTTGCTCTGATAGTAGAAATCAGTAATAAAGTCCCAATAGCAAGTGTAGATATAAGATTTGGGGATATTATAGTCGGCTATTCCCACTTGCAGTATGGTGGAGTGGTCTAGTATAACTTCAGTAAGACTGGTCTAAATAGATAAGTATATAGAATAGATTTTATTAATGCACTGCCGAAGCTGCTCCTCAATGCAATTGCAAAGCTATAAGAAAACTACTACTGTCATCTAAATGATATATCTGTATATCTATCAGCTTTTGACTGGTTGATACAATTCAACTAAAATATAATAGGCTCTAATATTTTTTTTCAAGCGACATACAAGCATAGTGGGGAAGACGATTACAAAGGCTGCGACAAGGAAATGATTATTAAATAGCCTAGATAAGTATCTAATAAAGTAATAATTCATTATAGCATAATCGTGTCCGGAAACCAGGTGATGAAGGATAGCATAACTAGAGATAGGATAAGTGCTAAGCTTGGTAGAGTATTATACTTTGAGATAGAGGGAGCTGGTCTAGCTAGTGTAATTCTGTCTGCCGTGATTTGTAGCATCTATAACTATGCTAATTCGCATAAGAATAAGAGTTAGCAACTATATGCTGCTGTGAGAGCAATGACATTTACTAAAGAATTGCTATGGGTTGTTTTAGTAGAAAAGATTACCAAGACTAATATATCTAGGAGAATAAGTGGTAGGTGTGCTTATTGTGTTATGATATGGCTGTACTGCTAATACAGATTTAGGTGCTGAAAAGTACTGAGTCTTATTTAGTCTTAAAGGTATTCTTTGAGATAGATTTATAGATAGACTAGAAGAAATAAAACATATAGAATAATTTTTTATGCTATATAGACAAGCTTAATTAGAAAACTATCAGCAGCAAGTAATAGTGCTATATAGCTTTAATAGAATAGACAAGACTTAGCTTGCTGCTGAGTTTACTAGGAAGCACTAGGCTATATTCATATCAGTATTCTGGTTAGATAGAAGCAGTGAAGATAGTCTAAAGTAAAGCATTGCTGATTATGTAAGTTGTATTCTAGAAGGGCAGATTCCTGAGATAAGTAGGAAATACTCATCTAGCATGAATGGTGACCTTAGAGCTATTATTAGTGATTTTATAGGGTGGCTAAGCATAACAGAGAACAAGCACTGGCTAATTATATTTAATAATGTAGACTGCGACTACCAGCAAGGAACTAATATCAACGCCTATAATGTCAATAACTATATACTAGAGGTTGATCATGGATGGATTCTGATTACTATGCGGCTTGCGAACCTCTAATAACTTAGTGAATCTTTGCATTTAGAGACTATTGACATGAGCTAAGCGTAGGCTATCTTTCGAAAGTGGTATAATGAAGACTTTGGTAAGACAGTTTTATGTATATCCCTAGTAGTTGTTGTATAGAGATATTAACTGATATATACAGATCCAAATGATAGCAACGAGCTACTTCGACTGCTTGATGGACTCCCCCTAGCTCTAGCCCAGGTGGCGGCCTATATAAGTGAGATGGGGGCGAGCTTCAGTACTTACATGAGGCTGTATAAAGAGCAGTGGAAGGGTCTGATAGAGATTAAGAATATAGCGCTACTAAGAAGCTATAGGAACCGCAGCATAAACATGACGTGGACAGTCTTATATAATACAATACGCTCTAAAAATCAGGCTACAGCAAATCTTCTTCTGTTATGGGCTTATCTTGACTATAAAACGCTGCCATTCTGGATTCTTCAAGCTGGAGTACATGGATCTAGCGCACTGGCTAAAAATTTGTTGGTATAGCTGGGAGACGCCGCCACCAATGAAGTAGAATTCTTGCAAGTAGTTTAAATACTACGGAGCTATTGCTTAATTGAAAGCCTATGTGGTAATTCGACCTATGGTACTTATCCTGTAGTGCACTAGTGGGCATTTCACATATAAGATAAATATCAATGAGCAGAGCTATCATGACTAGTAGTTCTTGTGATTGGATATACTATTCTAGGTAATTATGCGACAGAATATTACTAGAAGCAATGGCAGTTATTTCTATACGCTGAGTCTTGTATAGAAAGAATAGAGTAAGTAATAGCAGATACAATAGCAAAAGTAGATGATGAGGTATTATATGTACTATATAAGATAGATATTCTATTATCAGATCGAGGCAACCTAGTAAAGGCGGAGATGATGTACTAGCAGGCGCTAGAAGGCTACGAGAAGATCTGTAGCCCTAATCATGTATTAATACTTAATACTGTCAACAATCTAGACCTTCTCTATACTAACTAGGGAAAGCTGGCAGACGCTGAGAAGATGTATCAATAAGCGCTGGAAGGCTTTAAGAGGGTCTGGTACCCTGATCACACATATACATTCAGCATTATTAATAATCTAGGCCTTCTCTACACTAACTAGGGAAAGCTGGTAGATGCTGAGAAGATATACCAGCAGGCGCTAGAAGGCTACAAGAAGATCTGTGGCCCTGATCATGCATTAATACTCGATACTATGAACAATCTAGGCCTTCTCTACACCGACTGGGGAAAGCTGGCGGATGCTGAGAAGATATACTAACGAGCGCTGGAAGGTAAAGAGAGGATCTAGAGCTCTAATTATATATCAATACTTAATACTGTCAATAATCTGGGCAATCTCTACACTAATTAGGGAAAGCTGACAGATGCTGAGAAGATGTACTAACAAGCATTGGAAGGCAAGGAGAGAATCTAGGGCCCTAATCATACATCAATACTCTACACTATTAATAATCTGGGCCTTCTCTATGCTAATCAAGGAAAGCTAGCAGACACTAAGAAAATGTATTAGCGAGTATTAAAAGATTTTAAGAAGGCTAAAAGTCCTGATCAGATATTAATACTTACTATTATCAATAATCTAGGCAACCTCTATAAAAAAGAGAGAAAGCTGGCAGATACTGAGAAAATGTACTAGCAAGTGCTAGAAGGCTATAAGAAGGCTTTTAAGCTAGATAGTTTTCTATTATATGTTCCTGCGCTTAATAATGCCTATAGTTCTAGTATACTCTTCGAGGATAAGGGCCACTTAAGAGATACAAAATTAATATATATAAGAGCACTTAGAGGATATAAGCTTGTCTTTAGAACTAAATATCATTGGTACCAGGCAGTCCGGGAGCGCCTTAAGAACCTAGAGACCTCTTAAGACTCTCCCTCCGATAGCTAACAGCCACTAAACTGCTTAATCGATATGTAATAGACATTTTACCAGTGGCAGGATCGGCAGCTTCTACAAAATCAAGAAGACTTAAGCTTCTCAGGAAGCTCAAGGTTAGATGAATCACATGCGCATATACAGTAAATATCTTATACAGTTAAAGTGGTTTAGAAGAATGGAAATAGGCTTGGGTGTTGGTTTTGTTTAAGGAGCTTCGGGGTTGTCGTCGGATCTTCATATTCCTAGAATCCGCACAATAATGGGCCAGACAGCCGCAAGCTGGGCTCATGAGATGACGATTTAGAACACCAATGGGCTTGTAAATCAAATAATCTTAGGTCCTAACAAGAAAAACCTAAAGTAAATCATGTAAAGCCGAAGATGCAAAGTGCTGTTACATGGGGCGATCAATGTAGGTGATAGTTAAACTTATACTATATTACATGTTTTTGAAATTTGCACTAGGTTTTGATACATATACCCGTATGGATAGCCATGTACCAAAACACTCTACGCTCCAGGACTAGCAGTAACTTACAAGTCGACCGCCAATCGACCGAGAAGTCAATCAACAAATCAGATCGTACCATCCAAGCGAACAATCATGATAATGACCGCTCGCTTACTGCTCGGCTTTGATCATATCGACCTTAACACACTAGTCAGAACCTACTCCCTGCCAAGAACAAAGAATCTTCGGCGTACGGACGCCGAACCGGATCATCTCAGACTCTTTCCTTTCTTCCCCCCCTGCATCAGACCACTTACGTGCGTACGTCTTGCAGGGCTATGAATTCAACGCCAGACTACGTACCACGCCACACCTGCCACCTCCTTCGTACTCCCGTAGCTAATGTAGCAATATTCCGATTGCCTGATCGTTATGACATGCATGATATTGCTGTCAACACTCAACAGCGTCATGTGCAGCATCCAACGCCGTACATGCCTTTTTCTGGAGACCTCCCCGTGTTCTGAGAAACGACATGGCCACAAGATTATCGTTCACGTTGGACCATTTCCTCAGTTTGTTCGCCTTTCACATCGGTATGCGTTACCAGCAACAGTAGCCATATCCTTACGAATGACAGCCACTCGAATTACTTCGCGAGCGATTGATCATAGGTTGATTAGTAAAGCGATGGTCGTACAAGGTGTTGGACGGATTTCCATATTACTGTTTTTCTTGCTGTTATGCATGCAGCGTCGGAATTGTCCAACTGTGACCTTCAACATCATTTGAAGATAACAGCAACTTCAGGTTAAACGCCCGACTGCTGTGCTGTTATTCCTGATTTATTTCGCCGATAGGTTTTAGGGTTTGGGGAATCGGGCTGATCTATGAAGCTAATGAAGGAACAATTGAAAATGTAGACTTTTGGGTATGTATTATAGTCTTTCGTTCTTCCACACGATTCGGAAGATGACATTAACCTCGGTATCAATATGAAAAAGAAGAGAAGGGAAGATTGTACATCGTCACACGATATCTTCACTTATGCTACCAATGTATACGAGGCGTATCAAAACGGAGAGAGGTTTGAAAGAGGTAATTTATAATGGACTCGATTGGCTGGTTCTATCTGTTTCTCCCCTCTCAGACTAAGCCAAAAGAGGACTAAATGCCTATCTTAGACTTTGATGTTTCTTCAGGCGAAGATGAACCAATAAGATCAATTTAGATGAGCTGCAGTGTGGAAGGTGGAGACGGATCACTACCAGAAAACGGCCTGGCTCATTACGGGTCAATACAGCTGTATCGATCGTCTTTCGGCACGTTCACGGCCGTTGATCTAACTTCCCTAGTCTCTTTCTAACCAACGTTAATTTACTTGTACGTAGCTTCACTTCTACCTTCTTCTTCTTCTTCTTTTTCTCCATCTTCTCTAATTTTTGATGTAGCAGATGACTCGATTTTCACGGCGACCTTATACTCGGCACGGATGAGAATGTGAACCATCTGCATCGTTCTAACGGAGAGACAAAACCATCAATAATGAATCCAGACCATAGCGACTCGGATACCGGCTCGATTTTCACGGTCAAGACCAGCACCACTGCTCCGACGGAATGGACTTCGGAAGAAGGCAATGAGTCTCGCGATGGGAATGATGTTATGTCCATCTTGAGTAATTTGTATGTCTGCAACTCTACCTCATTCCTATGAGGGCGAATGGCTTAAATCTGGGTACTCGTTGTGACGTACAGATATGGTGGTGACTCGACATATTCATTATCATCTAGCGTTTTGAATTATCAGTTTGAAGTAGGACTCGATCGGTCCATGATTTACTCGATCTTTTCTGATTTCTATTTGCAGAATGGTCGACGATATCATGCCTACCACGAAGGAAAATATATTATGGTACGGATAGCTCGGAATACCCAAATTACAGAATTGATGATGAACAAGCCGATCATGATACTGATGACGCTTTCCAGCCAAACGACGACCAGGAACAAAACAAGTTGATGCTGGTAAGGTTTGCGCCTTGACGAAAAGGATTGCAATGACTAAAGTTTATTTCAGATGCATTTGTGCTACGAGCTGGTGTTTGATGGCAAGTTGCATTTATCACCTATTACCAGTGAACCTCAAAATGTTTTGGATATTGGTACAGGGAGGGGAGATTGGGCGATTGATTTTGCTGAGTATGTGGCAATTACCTACAAAGAATATCTGCACGATCGCTCACCTTTGTTCTTCTTAGGGCGTATCCATCTGCGCGCGTGATTGGCACAGACCTCAGTCCGATACAACCATTATGGTAGGAAGACCACTAATTATCAAGCATGCCACGATACGATGTTAAGACGATTGATTTACCACAAACAGGGTCCCCCCAAACTGCACCTTCGAAATCGACGATGCCGAAGATGACTGGCTCTACGCCCAACAATTCGACTTGATACATACCCGAACCATATGTGGCGCCATACGGGACTGGCCACGATTCCACAAACAAGCTTTCGATCGTGTGAAGCCCGGCGGATGGTTTGAGATGCAAGAAAATGATGCATGGTTCCAGCGCGACGACGGTTCGTGTCCCGAATGGACGAAGTTATTTTTGGAGAAACTGGACGAAGCGAGCATCCTAAGTGGGAGGCGGCTCAATGTCGCCCGAGACCAGAAACAGTACATGATCGATGCCGGCTTTGTCAATGTGCATGATGAAATTTTCCGAGTGAGTTAATACTTTCGTCTTTGTTGCGTGACAAGGCGCTAATAGACGCAGCTACCCCTAAGCCCTTGGCATGATGACCCCCGCATGAAAGAAATCGGTCGGATACGTGGCGTAGCCATGAACGAGGGGGTCGAAGGATACAGCTTGGCTTTATATACGCGATTTCTAGGTTGGAGTCCGACCGAAGTACGAATCTTGCTGGCCAAGGTGCGCTCCGAATTCAATGATTTGCGAAATAAAATGTACATTGCTGTGTATGCCCACTCTCGATGTCTTGTCTCCTAGTCCTTCTACTGACCACGGAAAACAGGCATGTCGTGTACGGTCAGAGACCGGAACAAACGGTCACGCAATGATTGAAAGGACTTGGCGTCTCTCCATCCTAGGCGTTTTCGATTTTGCTTTTTCCTTACTGATATGTATTTTGGCGTGCTCTATACCCTTTCTTTCTTCTTGAAGATGTGCTCTCCCAATTGTCATCTTTCATTCTTCGTTCCAAAAATTTTGACTATGGCGTATTTTTTTCACATCGCTTGACTCGTATATAATGATGATCGACCAAATATATCAATTCTAATGTACGTGCTACATAAGTGGTCAGAGCGTGTAAATCTTGCATCTCGAACCATTGGTACAGGACGGGTAGCGGCACGTCCCGTCCATGATCCATCCGCTTTTTTGAACTGCGAACTAGGTACATTTACAAAAAACAAAATTGGGACCTATTCGATCTATCACATCCCGGGAAAAAGAAAGGAAGTTGGAACGCGTACCCGTGGGTCTGGGAAAGTGGGTGGTACGTAGGGATCCTGAACGCCACGAGACCAATGGCCCACCTCTATATAATAGGCAGCTACGTGCATTTTCACATCAGAAACATCTGTTTAGGTGAGAACTGCGGTGGAAAAATACCTGGTCAGGGTTGCTCATAAACACACTCGTACCAATCCGTCAGGGTAGTCAATTTTGGCTTATGCCCGCTTACTTTTGGTCAACTGGATAGAGCTTATAAGCCCATCCTGTCCACTAGTTCATTCCGGAAATCAGCAGTCCTCTTGTTTCTTATTCCTACGTCTACCTTCTCAGTTATCTTATAGATTCCATACTGTTCCAAAGTCAGATCCATACACTGAGCACTAAAAGTTTCCGTAGGGTTAGGGCTTTTGGTGTACTGTGTATCCAAGCTAGCAGCTACATATAACTTGGAAATAACGAACAGAAGGCATTCCAACATCTGAATGTGATATCTCGAGATTATAATTTATACAGAAGTGGAGAGCACCCTTTCATACTGGCCTGGCCGATCAATAATTATTCGGAGCACTCCGAATATGATGTAACCTGCTATCAATATAGTGACAAGGCCTTCTGCCCGTGGTATCGAGGTTCTTCTTTCCTTTGGGTCTTTACTTGAATAGGTAAGATCAACGTCCGGTCTATAAAGTTCTCGGAGCCTGTTTAAACAACAGGGAATACATGTAAGCTCATAGATGATCTTTTCTGTAAGACATACTTGATTCGGCTTGGGTGCAAAGGGTAAATTATCTATTTATTTCAAAAGTCAGGGTTATCCTAAACAAAGCTCAATGAAGTTGCTTTCTCATGCTTTCAACGCCTTGCTCACAATAACAGTTGCTAGAGCTGAAATGTTATTCTTTGTGTCCAACAAGTCAAGCAAACTGATATCCGCCCTGAAAACATTATTGAACCAATTTCGAAGTTCCGCTGCAATCAAACTATCAACGCCATAAGCAGCTACTGTCTTTGAGGCGTCTATGGATGATGCGTCTACGAACAGCGTGTCCGCAACTGCTTTGACAATGGCACCCGTAACAAACTTCTTTGCTTGACTTTGATGGTCTGACCCAGCCTTGATCAATTGATCGTACTGATCTCGCAATTGTGTAGCTGCTGAGTTGCTACCACTGTCCTTGCTGCTGCTAGTCGTGTCGTCTGCGTGTTTCAATGCATCATCGAATGCGCGCATGATTAGAGCCACACGTCCGTCGCTGTACCAGCGTGGGACGAGCCCTCCAGAATTGCCTGTACCCTCTTCATCTCTCTTTTTTGCGGCCAGGGCCGCGGGATCCATGCAAGTGATCACAGTCGCCCCAGATAGCGGATCATCTTTCGCACCGGCCCATGGCTCCGTATCCTCCGTAAAAGGTGATTCGCTGTTGAGAAAAGCAAGCTCCAGATTGTTAAGAAATTCAACCTCGCTCAGACTCAGCGTCTTGTTGCGAGCCATGAGGTTGACGGTAGTCATATTGGTGCTGAGGTGGCCGACGTCAGTAATCAAACCGAATGATGCCGTAGACGCTACGAGACCCTGACGGCGGCGGTAGCGAGCAAATAATTCTTGGAAGGTATTAGCAGCGTTGTATGCACTTTGGGTTGCAAGCGAAACAATCGAATCGATCGATGTGGTCATCACAAAGAAGTTTAGAGGGAGGCTCTTGGTGGCCTCGTGAAGATTCTCGGTGCCAATCACCTTAGCAGCAAGACCAGCATTCCACTTATCAACAGATAATTTGTCAAAAGAAAGATCCTGCAGGACAGAACAAAATTTCAATGTTAGATGTTGTCTGCGAAACACGTTCGATTTATCTCCAACTTACCTCGTAAGAGACGGCGGTATGAACGACACCCTTGATGGACCTGACTGCATTCGTTTCCCTAATCAATCTAACGATTTCATGAAGCTTGCTGACATCACAGGCAACAGCTTTGACATCAATATCTTGAGCGCCAAGTCTGTCGACAAGAGCCTGTGCTTCAGCAGTTCTCGCTCCACTTCGTGAGACGACAAGGAAGTGGCGAGCACCATGTTTGACCATCCAGTCAATGACACTTCTTCCAAGACCCCCAAGACCGCCAGTAATGACGTACTCCGCGCTTTCGTCGAATGTAGCTCGAGGCACAGGGGGTACCATCCTCACAAGCGAATCCGGGTCCATGAAAGTGATAACTAATTTACCAATGTGAGCTCCCTTGGAGAATCCTAGAAACACTTGGCCAAGCTGGGAGACGTCAGAAGGGAGTATTGACGGAATAGGGGCTATTTGACCAGCTCTGAAGTATTGGTGGACCTTCTTCATAAGGATATGGCCCATACTCGGATTGGCATCCATGACAACGCCGAGATCAAAGGATGAGAAGGTGGCACTCTTCTGGAAGAGATCCAATCCAAGCATCATAGAATTCTGAACGTCCACTCGTCCGACGTCTATGTAGCGACCCAATGGCGCAACCAACTTAAGCGATTCATAGAGCATGTCTCCAGTGGCAGTACCCAGAACTACGTCGAAACCCTTGCCGCCGCTAGCCTTGATCAATTTGGGAATAGCTGTAATGTCTCTTGAAGAAAAGATCCGGGATTCGGCAACTCCTATATGCTTGATGAGGTAGCGGGCCTTTTCCTCATTACCAACAGTTGCAAAGACTTCTGCCCCTTTGGATCTAGCTAGCTGAATTGCAGCGAGGCCAAGGCCTCCGGTTGCCGTCTGAATGAGTACCTTCTCCCCTGCCTTTACTCCTGTGGCATGCTCAAAAGCATATACTGCAGTCATATACACCAACGGAATAGTGGCCATCTCAATATAATCGTCACTAGGAGCCAGAACCTGACAATAACTTGCCGGGGTGCGCACGTAGTTGCCGAAGTGTCCACGCCCCATACCGTACACGCGATCTCCGACTTTCAGTTCCGTAACGGCTGATCCAACAGCAGCTACCTCACCAGAGAACTCGGAAGAGAAGGAATTCAGGTCGAACCTACCCGCAGAGACCGCAAGATCTTTCCAGTTGAGCCCGACAGCTGCTACCTTAACCTGAATCCAGTCTTGAGGCAGTGGTTTCCACATTTCTTCGTACTGTTTGAAGTATAACGTGGTCAGCACACCAGGTGTCTCAAAGGCAGCGCGAATAGGGCCATGGCGTCCGAACGGCAGCATAGTAGCATCTTTAGGATTCGTTTCAGAAAGTCTTAATTGCGAGGCTAGTCCGGCATCAGGAGTAAGCCTACTGACCCATAGACAACCATCTTGCCAGACGAACTCTTGATCTTCGGTTTCTCCTCTTATGGGTACCTGAAGAGTAATCTCTTGTTCGAAAATCGATCTGACAAGGTTGATGTCATTGACATCACTCTCGGGATCGACGTCAATCATCAGGAACCGAGATGTCGGGTTCTCAGTGGCAAGCGTACGGACAAGTCCAGCTACAACCCCAGCTTTAGGGTTTTTGCCCTTGATCATTCCGCTCGAAGTAATCCAAGTCATGCTAGAGCAATTCCGAACCAAATCCTGGATGGCGTACAATCGTGTTGCAAGAGTATTAATCAGAAAGTCACCGTCGTCTGCATATAGAATATATCGAGAATTTGGTGATAAATCTGTCATTTCGTCGATATGAACCGACTTTGTGGCGATTCCGCACTGGTTGTACTTCGAAACCAGCCTCCCCATCAGTACGGGCTTATCGGATACATGGATGAAAACAGCTTCTTTTGCACTGTCGACAGTATTAGTGACATTAACCGTGTCAACTGCAGTTGACACAATGGTAGCTGCAACAGAGTAAGGCTGGGGGTAGTCATCAAGGATAATATCAGTGCCCGTAAAGCCGGCATTCTTTAGGGCCGAGTCCCAGCCCTCGGCGGTTAAAAAGGGGCTGTCGACACGGCCTTCAGAAATCCCACTCCAATAACCTGCCAATGTTCCCAGGACAACGCCCTGGCCAAGGATAGTTCGAATATTTTCAACAAGCACAATTCGGCCACCAAGCTTCACGAGTTGTCTGCAGTGATCAAGAGTCCTGGAGATGCTTGCAGTGGCGTGTAGACACTCAGATGCGATTACAAGGTCATAACTCTGCTCATAACCCTGTGTAAGTGGATCTTGTTCGATGTCAAGCACCGAAAAGTCCATGTCGGGATGCTCAGCAAATGATCCCCTCGCGATATTGAGGAAACTACTGGAAACATCGGTGAAAGTGTAGCTCTTGTATCTTTTGATCCCATTCTTATCAAGAAGAGCTTTCATGATGATGCGAGTTGCGTTACCTGTACCAGCCCCAATCTCCAGTATGCGCAAGTTGGGGCTGGAATGGCCGATGGATTCAAAGACACGAGAGATTTGTGGAAATGCGCCTGTCATTATAACACCATCGTCGTACATAGAGGTCAAAAGACCATTCGGGACGATCACGTCAAGTCCCGTCTTTCGGCCGTACATGATATCTTTTATGTTGTTGAAAACTTCAGCGCTGATCTTGACGTCGGAGTATTTAGAATTCTCCTCGACCAGGCGTTTGATAAGCTGCTGTCTCTGCGATCCAGTCAATGATTTTGCTTCGTCAATCCATTGATTCTTGTCAGACATTCGCCTCTTGCACCACTCGAGAAAGTGATGAATGTCTGACGTTCGGTTGACAGCGGCGTTGTTGCCAAATTTCCCATCAATTTCCGCAATCATGAGAGAGCAAATCCTATCAAAAATGTCAAAGAGGTGAGCCTTGCTGGCATTACTAGCAGGGGTTGGAAAAATCATGTTGGCCTGGTCGGTCTTCAAAGTGCGAATGTCTGGTTTCCAGACTTGCCGGATGATAGGCGCAGCAAATGGTCTTTCAAGCGCTGTAGAACAGTAAGATTGCTCCGAGTAGCTTACGCATCTCATGTTTTGAATATCAAGAACCACTTCGCCTGACTCATTCACCATCTGCATCGTCGTGTAGGCACCACGAAGACCACGCAATTCACCATGGGCAATACTGACTGCTTTTCCTTTTTTATGGGAGGCATTCTGTAGGTAAAAGGACGGAATGTGGACTGGAACAAACCCTCTACGCGCCTTGTCTATTTGTCCTCCATGGCAGGCAATGAGACCTAACTGGAAAATTGCATCGAGCGAAGCCGGATGTAGAGGGTAGTCAGATTCGCCAACTATAGTTCCTTGAGTTGTATCGAGAGACACCTTAGCAATTGCGAGATTCTTTGCGGGGTCAGCCTGAATCTCAGACAGCCCTTGAAAGGCAGAGCCATATCCAAGGCCAATCTCTGCAAAACGTCTGTACCAGTTCTTTGTATTGACCGCTCTCGAATCCATACAGGTTGTAATAATATCGCCCGCGCGCGAGCTAGATATTTCAATTTTGACGAGGCCATTACAGTGCTCTGTCCAACTACCGGTCTCACGAGAAACAGAACTGATCGTGCAGCGAACCCAAGCAGGAGACTTGCCTGTAGCGGAGTCGACCTGATCAAGTGTGGTGACAATTTCGACACCATGATCATCTTCCGGAATTCTAAGAGCATTGCTTATAGAGAAGTTACGTAGAGAGAATCCTGTGATAGGCAGAGGATCGGAAAGCTCGGTGTACGCACGCGAAGCAGCCTCTATTGCTGTTGCAATGTAACCAGTAGCAGGGAACACAGGATGAGGAATTAATCGATGGTCGCTGAGCCACGGGAGATCCTTCAGACGCAAGACGTTGCGCCACTGTGGTCTGATTCTAGAGCCCCCGGGAAGCTTGGAACCGAGCAAGTCATGCCTAAGAATGTTCCGCCCGCGCAACTCCTTGCTATAGCGGTTCTCGTAATAGACAATGGGGCCGTAGGCGTACTTGTAAGGCGGCAAGTCAATTGCCAGACAGCCATGCTCGTATTGAAGCTCGGAATTGTCCCCGGTCTTGTCCACTGAGTTGATGGCTACAAGGTTTAGTTCGGCGTTATGACAAAAGAGCCGACCAGCAAGTTGAAGTAAGTTGACTTGGCTGTCCTCAGAACGTTTCAAAGACGCAAGATAAGGCATCTCACTGCCTACACTCTTGAGAATCTGCTGCAGGGGACTCTTTAAAGCAGCGTGAGGCCCGATCTCGACTAAAAGGTCAATACCTCCTGGGGTGACCATCTTAGCAACGGCCTCAGAGAATCGTACAGCAGATATGAGATTAGACTTCCAATAATCTGCACCAAGGATTTGTACGTCAGCAGTGTCGTTATGAGGTGTCACTGACGACACCCAGGTGACTTGAGGATATCGCATGGACACATTGGACAAATCCTTTCCGCTTATGAATTTGAGCCCAGCACTGAGAGTTTGGTCATAAATCTGACTGAGGGGCAGCATATGATGAGAGTGATATGCATTGCCTCCTGTTTGGAGGACACGATTGAAAATATTGAGGTCAGTCAACTTGGCTGAAAGGTCTTTGACGTCCCCCGAGTCGCCAGATAGTGTCACACTTGACGGTGAGTTGATGGCAGCGATTTTTATTTTGTCTTCTAAGCCAATGAGATGAGTTGCCACTTCCTCAGGACCGAGCCCAGCAGCCAGCATGAGACCGTCAAGCCTGTTCAGGGAGACTGCTCGGCCACGAAAGTAAGCAGAGACGATCGCTTCTGCTCTCGTGATGCGACCTGCTGCGTAAGTAGCAGCAATCTCACCGGAGGAATGTCCAACAACAGCTGAAGGATAAATTCGCCAAGACCATAGCAGATCTAATATACCAATCTGCAATGCTGAGCACACCGTTTGGGAAACCTCTGGCTCATGGATACGACCTGACTGGACATTACCTCGGAGAACGTCTTCTACAGACCACGAAGGTGGCTCGGGTAGTTGCGCAAGGACGTGATCCTGGAAGTGAATAGAATTTTGAAAGACACTATAGTTGAATAATTCTTTGCCCATCGCAGGCCATTGAGCACCTTGGCCTGTGAAAACGAAGCCAAGTTTAGGCCTTTGGGAACCTGAATTGTATACTTCTCCAACTTCCTCTAGGGCTTCTACGGGATTATCCTTATTAGCTAGTGCAACAGTTCTCTGCATGAATCGGCTGCGCTTGGCGGACAGCGTATAGGCGACGTCGGCAAGAGAGTGCCTACTGATCTCTTCGCGTAAGGCGGCCACATTGAGCTTCAAGGATGCCTCGTTGTGGCTCGAGAATGGTAGTAAGACAATGTCGCGAGTTGATGCAGATGGATTCTGAACAAGCCTGGGAAGTATTTGGTCTGACAATCTGCTGGTATAACCATTTGTGTCCTTCGGGTCATTATCATCACCAGCCATCAAACCTGGTTTTATGTAATTGGGGAAGACATTGTGTACATCGTCAATGATGCAGTGCCCGTTAGCACCACCATAACCGAATGAATTGATGCTCGCTCGCTTTATCTTACCCCTTGGCCACGGAGTGAGTTCGGTAAGTACCTTCACTCGCGCACCACTGAAATCGATTTTTGGATTCAATTTCTGGATGCCAATACTTGGAGGAATTATACCTGATTCAAAAGCAAGCACACATTTCATAATACCAGCAATAGCACTACAAGATTCGGTATGACCAAGGTTTGTTTTAACGGATCCAATCAAGAGAGGGTCATCTGGTGTCCGTACAGAAGCAAAGACACTCCCAATAGCGGAAATCTCGATTGGATCGCCAACAGGTGTTCCTGTTCCGTGACATTCAAAGTATGTCGTCTCTTCCAAGGGCAGGTTTCCGGCGTTCTCGTATGCTTTGCGGATCACAGCCTCCTGGCCTTCTTTGCTTGGATGGGTTATACCACCTGTGCGACCGTTCGCATTGACAGCAGTGCCACGGATGACAGCTCGAATAGGACATCCTCCCATAATAGCATCGTTCGCCTTCTTCAAATATAGGGCCACGAACCCCTCTCCACGAGCATAGCCATCAGCAGCCGCATCGAAGGTGTGGCAGGTTGATGTGGCAGATAAAACACCCAGCTTGGTCATCATGAGCTGGGTACTGGGGTCCATAATCTGTTGTGACATATTTTGGTTAGAAGACATTTCGATCAGGAGCACCCATGAGCACTTACTGTATTGGAGGCAGCAACAATCGCCGAATCGCAATCCCCGTTCCTTATGGCTGCAAAGGCAAGGTGGAGGGCATACATGGACGAAGAGCAAGCTGTATCGAGCGTGACACTGATACCATATATTTAGTCAATGCCGTCACTGACTATGAGAGCATCGTAACGACCTACCTAGGTCCCTGCAAATCAAATATGTAGTTGACACGATTGCTGAGGATACTGACACTACTTCCAGTGCTCGCATATTGCCGTGGGTGGTCTGGGTCGCGTTCTTGAATAAATCCATGATCATTACTGAAATTACCAACGTAGACGCCGGTTCTTGATCCAGAGAACTCATCCCATGATACACCAGCATTCTCAAAGGCTTCATAGACGACCTCCAAAAGCTTGCGCTGATCAGGAGCCATAGTCTCGACTTCTAAAGCCGTCATGCCAAAGAATGTATGATCAAAGAGACGAGGGTCTTCAGACAGGAGGAATCCGCCTTCCGTGGCTATGGAGCCTGGTCTATCTGGGTTTGGATGTTGAAAGCCGCTGAGCTCAAATCGGTGATCTCCAAATTTCCGATAGCCTGATTGCTTTCTCTTGAGTAGCTCCCAGAACCCAGAGACATCTCTCACATCTCCAGGCCATCGGCAACCTGTCGACCAGTTGATTAGAGACACAAAATTGGATTTTTGGGAAATAAGAGGAACAAGAACAAACCCATGCCGACAATTGCAATGGGGTCTGTACCATTGGCATAGACCCCATTGCTTATACCGTTCGTGACGCTAGCTGAAGGCATTAAATCTGTGGGAAAAGTGCTCTGAGATGTCACGAAATATTAGTCTCATAGAGAGAAAACAGGTAGGTAAGGGTAAAAGAAGAAATCAAAGAGGGTTCAGGAGACTACATCAAGCATTGAGCCCCTACCTCAGTTGGAGAGAAGAACAAGACAACACGGTCCACCAAGAACCCTGATATCTTTAGCCTTATTGAATGAGTTTGAAGAATGGAGTTTCCTGTAAAAGTTTTCTTATATGGATTGACACGCAAGTTGATCGCGCATTACATTACCAATACCATCTCGGCGACTAGACAGGTAGATATATTTTGCGCCGCTCAGGCGCCGTGGCTTTTCGCTCGTTGCCCGGCTAAATATAGATAATCGCAAACCATTCCCACGTGCAGCATCTCAAGGCGACACTAGATTTGGGGTCGAAATGCCAATCGGCCAATCTTTTTATGGAAACAATATTTGTGCTTGTGGGCGAGAAATCTAAGCTTCTAATAGTAATATAATAGACTAAACACCCGCGATTGCGGAAGAGGTTCAGCACGAGTCAATAAGTCATCACCAGGTTCAACTTCATTTCCGCCCATTCTTATTTCAAGGATTGATATTCTGCAGTCATGGCTATCAAAACAAATGGCTTTCAGATCCCCGAGACCGATATTCTAAAACTGACATTCAATATCGTTCGTCATGCCGCCAGCATCTCGGCGTATCTTGAAGACAACCACCTGTCGAACCCTACTTTCGAGCCGGGATCACCAGAACCTCCAGAGACCGAGGCATATCTTAGTCATCGCAGCCAGCTTGTTTCAAGCCTAGAGGATCTTCACAGGCTTGTGGACGGGCCGCGACGGACTATGCGTACTTTCGCGTGCAACGGAAATGACTTGGCGGCCTTACAAGTAGCATTTGATTTCGATTTCTTTCACATCGTACCTCTCAATGGAGAAATTGAGATTGGTGAGCTCGCGAAAATTGCAGGGCTTGATGTTGACCGAGCTGGTCGTATTCTTCGTATGCTTGTGACCCATCGAATCTTCGCCGAAAAGAGACCTGGCTATTTCACGCACTCGGCCAACTCCTCAATTTTCGCCACTGATGAAGATCTCAGATGCGCAGGACATTATATGTGAGTATAAATGCCACTTCATATATTCGAAACCTGGGGCTAATTGCTCCGAAGGGTCGACGAGATGTGGAAGGCTGCAACAGCCACCTCAGAATGCATCAAGGCTGCGCCCTACGATTCAGACAACGATCATTCTCCATTCAAAACAAGATTGGGACTTCCAATGTTCGCTTACTATGCCCAAAATCCACAGTACGCAACTCGCTTTGCCAAGGCTATGAAAGGAGCAACAAGAGGTGTGTCCTGACTGTTTAGGATGTCGGATTTTGTACCTTCAGATTGCTGATGATCAAGCAGTGGACCGACAAATCAGCGAATTGAGATATGATTTCCCCTGGGATGAACTACAGGACACGGTTGTTGATGTCGGTGGAGGCAGCGGGCATGTTTCGATGTCACTGGCACAAGTGAGTCGCTGCGCCGTCATCAGTTCCGATTGTAATTAGGTTTGCTGATGATCGATTATAGGACTTCCCTCATCTGAAGTTCATTGTTCAAGACAGCTCGCTTGACATGATTGCAGAAGGTAAAAGAATTGTTGGCCATCTTGCAGATCGCGTTTCCTTCATGCAACACAACTTCTTTGATCCCCAACCTCTGCGAGATGTTGGCGCTTTCTTCATCAGGCAGTGCACGCATAATTGGTGTGACCGAGATGTGATCACCATCTTCCGAAGCTTCGTGCCGGGCTTAGAAGGATCGAAACCCGGAACACCATTGTTGATCAATGATACAGTCATGCCAGAGCTTGGAGCTATTCCGGTTCATGAGGAGCGCGGTTTGCGACAGATGGATTTGCTGATGATGATAGGGTTGGGCGCCAAACAACGAACTCAAACCGAGTTTGAAAGCCTCCTGAAGCAGGCCGATAATCGCTACGAAATTCGTAAGGTGCACGCTGATGGCTCGATGGGGTTGTTGGAGGTTCATCTACGCCACTGAATTTTGGATACAATGCACAGGGGTTATCAATGGATAAGAGTCGACCATCATTGTAATGTTTAGATCATGCAGAATAATCCATTCGCTTTCCTATTCATGCGAACAATGTCTATGTAAGTCGTACACGTGCAGTGACAGCGCCTCATAGTCATACAGGGATCATGAAGTAGCTAACATAGACCTCTGCGTAATTATCTCCAAGTATTTGCCGGAGGACATAAATCCCCGCAGAGAAGAAATTAATCACTACTGTATTATAGCTTTATTATGTGCTCAATTAAGCCCTTTTTAGTCAATCGGAAGATATTTCCTCGAACTACCCATTGATATACATAGGAAATCACATACTTTTCAGAAATTGACTGACTAACTCGTCAAGTAGTTGCTGACGTCATCCGGGCCTTGAATCAGGCTCATGGTGTATCACTGCCCATTTCCTAATCGGGCACCGGTCATCGCTAAACACCATTCATACATCATTTATCACTTGCCAGGACTCAGGAGGGCTCGAATAGTTATTAGATGTAGAGTATGTACAAGTAAGTAAGGTGTAGCCTTTAAAATGCCATACATTTCGCCACTCCAAACGATATCAAACATTCCATTATCCAAAGCTTTCCCTAGTAATTTTTCATTTCATGCCTCATGACCTAAAGAATAACTTCGACTTCGGGATATAACATTAGCCAGGTGTCAATCGATCCAATTGACAGGGGTGAGATGCATGTAATTAAATTCTGGGGGCTGTTTGATACAGTATACTTGGGTTATTTTGAGAACTGGGCGTAAACGCCGACCAGAAGCATTGAATAAACGCTGTGCCACGTTGGTGTTTGTTATTGCTAATTATTGATGGGGGAGTCGGCCATTAAATCCCAGTAGTGGTCTTGATAGCTAGCCAATTATTTTTTTGCCGAGTGTTGGAAGTCCCAATGTTGAGGTACTATGGTCCCCCTTTAAGTAACGTTAGTAGAGTGGGCCGAAGAAGGGTATGAAAATAATTCAAATCTATCCATCCACCATAAATCTTAGAGATGTAGAATATTATATTTGAAATGTCCATTCTAGTGAAAGTGTGACCGTTCTGGCCACCTCTAACGCTCTTTTATCATCTACTTAGTTTTGTTGGCTGGCTTATCAAGCCTTGGCTGTATTGCACAGTTATCGACCGTGCGGTCGCATACCCCGCAACTTCCCACACGATTTTGCCATAGCCTGCCTACCCTCGAATCGTCTAATTAGCCAAATGGTAAATATAATACTTACCTCAGGTCCTCCGGTATTCGTTGCTTCGAACTGCAAGCCACAACGCTAATTGGAACCAATCGCAGGCTATATTTTGGATTCCATTGAGATTGTTAAAAAGTCAAGCTATTGAAGTGGTTCATTACTAAGTACCCACGTATCAGGAATCGGAATCACAAGGATTCCTGATAAACATGAGCTCAGATTTGTGGTAGACAGCCTATAACGTATTGATGTATCGCCTACGACCAGGGAATGGAACATTGAAACATAAGTACAGAACAGGAAAAGTGATGACAATGTATCATACCGAGGTGCCGCATGAAATTAGTCAATTGTATAAGGAATTATTGCAGGGTATGGTATAGAATTGGATATAACGAATGATAAATTTTGACAGTGTGATGTAGACATATATAGGCGATAATCGACATGAGACACCAGTAAGGATCACTTTTCAATCATCTTGAAGCATCGTGCGAATTTTGATGTGCACATAAACTCGAAAATAGATGGAAGCTAAGTGGTTTTTGAATATCAACCGCCGAGCCATCCCGACAGGACTTCTTCATTCCAATTAGTTCCCACTATCCATAACCTGGACCCCTCGAAAATGTAGGCTTCGCCAAGCAAAGACCGTATAGGATTCAAGGCAGAATCTTAGTCCTTGTTGGTTTATTACCTTTCTGAATTGTCCAAATAATCGCCATATGTGTATTCAAACACAAAGGAATTACTCTATTGTTTACAAATACCCTTTTTAAACCATTCTATAGTGTCGTAGCACAGCGACGGGGAACGAACATGAACGATCAACTACAGCAAATTAAGTGCTAGATCAACATATGGGTCCCATCAAAGAGGGTATACAGACGTACATGCTATAAGTAGCGTAGGAGGCTAAACAATGAAAGAGTAAAGAAAAAAAAAAGGGTAATAGACACTTAATAGATATGGTAGGTGCCGTAGATTTCGAGAAGGCGAAAGTCATCACATATTCAATCAATACACCACAGTTGCAACGCTTTCTTGTGACCAAACACTGCGCGAAGGACTCTATGGGTGCCACCAACACAAGGAATATCTCCCGATCGCTCAGAAACCAAATGACTAGGATATAAATGGTCTAATAGTGCGGCTTCGGCAAAACCCGTTGAAGGCTGGACCAACCGATCAATTGCCTCACATAATTTCTTAGCATAAACAACATCACCGTCCTCACGAGTAATTGCCGCTAGAATGCCGAATCGAGTATGTGGTTGAGTCTCATTTCTCAGGTCTTCAATGGATGGGTGCGTAATAGGTATAAAGACAATCTTCCTAGAATTATAGACAGTGCATGGTTTGACGCTAAGAACTTCTGCCTTTTGATTCCACTTTAGATCACTGATAGGTTGACCTCCGCTGATATGAACATGAAAGACATGATACTGTTGTGCACTGTCTTTCATATAAAATGAAATGCCTAAGCTTGCCGTTCCGATATTCATGATTGTCCCAGGAAGCTTGACTAGAAGCCCAGCTGTGGTAGTTTTGGCTGATGGTGGGCTCGACTCGTTCACAAAAGCCCTGACGGAACCATATTTTTCAGTGGTCTGATTCATATTTGATGGTGAAAATAATAAAGATTTTGGTGCCCATCGAAGTCCTTGCCGTGTAATAGTCTCTCCTCTATAACACAGTATCTCACTTGGAACGTCTGGAATCATATCCCAAAGCTTCTCCATTCGCTTTTCCGGGGAACTTTGGACAATCTGTTCCACGTTTAAATTAAGTAGCGTTGATATGCATATGGCTTCATCTGTGGCAACGCTAGTAGTACGGAATCTTAGCGCCATGATCACAGAGCCGAGTTGAGCAGAAAATCCGTTTCCGTTCTGTTTGAAACCACGAAGACTCTGATACTTTGTGATTAAGGGTTGCCTCAAAGTGAGATTAATAATAGCATCGCTGGTATCTAGAAACAGCTGGTAAGACAAGTCGAGCTCATGGGCAGTATCCTTGAATTGGAAGAATAGACGTCCGGCGAGCGACCCTTCTTGATAGGTCCAAAGACGTCTATTCCATGTCGAATTAAAGATGCGCATCAAAATTTCGACTTTTGTAGCCTTCGAGCTATCGCACGAAAGAAGCCACGAGTCAAGGACCAAAACTGCACTGGCACTCTCATATGTATAGTGCATCTTTCCTAGCGCAGCCACCTTAGCTCTTTTGTGTTTGACTGAATTAGTCGGAACGCATAACGTGTCGAGCCACATGTATTCAATGCGAGAAAGCTCCCCGGGGAGTAATTGTATCATTTTGCGTAAGGCAAAGAATTGGCAGGAGGGCAACGCATTTTGTTGGAGATTACCAAGGCCATCGGCCCAAACGTGAGAGATAGCAATATATGACGTACTTGGCGTTTCTTGAATGGTTGACAAACGGTACCTTTCAAGATGAGAGTATAGATGGATAAGTGGTATATTACCATTCAATAGCACTGGAGTAAGTGTGCTAAGCTCTGCCACAAAATCCGCACAGCCCTGGCATTCAAGCCTGTGTTTTGTCCTGTAAGTATGTTTGGATATTTTCCGTAAAGCACAATGGGTTTGTGTACAATCGGTGCTTCCTAAAGAACTATTCCTCGGCACGTGCATTTGTTTTGGGTACGGTCGCTCCAAATTCATCATAAACAAACATCCCGCGGCGCTAAAATCTTCCATCATAGGTATTGCGTCGTATGGACACCAGCCAGCTTGTCTAAAACGCATACTAATCGATTGCTGTGGGATAATCGGGACTTTCATGGGCATTTCTTGTTCACCGCGTAGCATGAAGGACATTGCTATTTCCCATAGCAAGCTTTCTGCAAGGGTGACTCGTTGGTGTTGAGGATCTGATGGCTGCTCTATTTGGATAAATGTTAGAAGATCTTCATGCTTGCTGAGATCAGATTTCGATATTCTCTTCCCTTTCCAATTACCCTCGAAAGCAACAAGCACGTCTCCGCATACCTGAACAGCCTCAATCAGGCCATTTTCATGTTGAGTTTGTGTCAGTTTTCTATCAATAAAGTCCTTCAAAGTCTTCGTTGATAATAACATCATCCCAGGATTGTCATTGTCATCTATCACGAAGCTTGTGATGGCGAATGGACCAATAAAGAAATGCATAAGGCCGAAATAGAGCCATCGTTGCAGGAAAGCGTTGAAGTCTCGAGGAGGCTGTTCAAATATAGCCTGCCACTCTGCGACTGTTCTAGCGCTCCAGCCTTGACGTTCAGGATAGTTACGAAAATTTCCTCCATCATAGTTGATCGATGACAAAGCAGGCACCTTAGGTGCTTTTTGTATTGATGCTCTAGGAAAAAAAAGATGGTCCATTTTCATTCATTTAGAAAACGTGAGAGAAAGCTCATGAAAGTCGAGTGATGAGTAAATGATTCCGGATGTTTATTTTATTTGAGGCTCCGCAAAGCAGACAGCGAGTCATTTTTCAATGTAGTATTTACATGGCTGTCAAACAATTGGATCAAACCAATGAAAAAATCCACCTTAAGCGTAGACTAAGAAGATCCCAGGCGACGTCTCGTACCATGCCACGTCGGCAGGTCACATTCATGTGCAAAGTAATCTGCTACCTAGCTTAATCGAAACATAGCCTCGAGACACTGTTTTAATCAGCGAGTGCGACGTAATGGCGGTCAAGGCTAGTCCAAGCTAAAATTTGAATTGATGCGTCGGCCTCGTACTTGGTGGGGATTTTGGGGGGAGAACGGTTGGGGGTTCAACCATTAATCGGGCATCTGGTGTTATCGATCGTAACATACATATATATATATATATATGTATGGATCATGTTACCATCAAGTCACTAGACAGCTTGACATAAAGCCAAGCTAACAAGTAATTATTTTAAAAGGCTTGAAGCCAACCTTGAACGAAGAGTCATTATAATACTTGATTTCAATACACTACGCTGTTTCAGTTTCTCCATACCTGGCAGCCATTCGAAATTGATGCGCTGGGCCTCGTCACCCAGCTTGGAGCCGAAGAAATGAATTTGAACCTGGGAGCTCTAATTTGGAGCGGTCTTACAGAATGCCTACCTCTTACGGCAGCTTATGTCGTTGCGAATAACGACATCATGGCAACGAAGTCTGGCTTTACTTTATACAATATTGGTGACGTAATGATGGGAGCTGATATAGCGGCCTGGTTTTAATCGTTGGCTTTTCTCAAGTCGGCCACTGACTTGGAACTCGACATCTTTACACTTCACACTTATGAGAAATAAGGCGGTCGTGAAATAATAGTCGTTTATAGTCCAGACATGAATGGCAGAAGAAGTCTCATCTTCTTTTCGTCCTTAGGAGGACTTTCACATCTGTCCAATGCGTATGGTTGGGCTGCTCAAAATGTCATTTCCTACGAAGTTGTTTTGGCGAATGGCTCTATTGTTACGGCAAGTGAAACTTCGTACCCTGACCTTTTCTTCAAACTGAAAGGTGGCTCAAGTAATTTCGGTGAGTAGATGTGTTCTCGTTGGATAAGTGATCATGCCTGACTTAAACGTTTCAACAGGGATCGTTACCCATATAACACAACTCACCTATCCAATGGCTGAAGTTTGGGGTGGTGTCGTGGCTTTACCTTCCAATATCTCCAAGAATTTCATGCCTGCTATGGCAGAATTCCAGACTACGGGACAACTTGATACAAAGGCTGCTATCCTGCCATATATTGCCCCTATCAACGATACTATTCTGGCCACTGTCATCTATTTCGAACCTGTAGAGTATCCTGATGCATTCGCTTCCTTCTATCGGCTTTCCAATTTCTCGAATACCACCCAGCTCCACGAGACTTTCTACGATATTGCTATACTTCCTGTTCCCTCCACTGTTCTTCGGTATGTCATGCCTCATCATATGTATCAGCAAATGGATGGCTGTCATTTTTCAGATGGCTCTATGCTAAAATGCTCTCAGGTTGGAAAATGAAACGTATGTCGGATTGATTGGCGTGATTACCCAGTTTCAGAGTCAAGTCTCTCAGCTCCAGGGAGGTACTTTGCTTCTGATGCCTCAACCTATTTCTTTATCTATAGTCCGAGAATCACTCGTTCGCGGCATAGACCCGTTGAACGTCACCGAGACCGCTCAAATATATGAGTGTGAAACGAAATTCCTTAATTATAGAGAGATCGCTGACTAACGAACAGGGGCAAGTCCTCAAATCGGATTTATTAACGAAGCGGACCATGATACTGTGAATAATATCTTGGAGAGCATTATTAATGCTATTGGCAATTACACTCAGGCCCAGAACACCTACTTAGAGTTCACATTTCTCAACGACGCTCACTTTATCCAAGATCTCTTCGTTGATTACGGGGAAGGAAGGTACGCCAACTTCCAGACCGTGGCCAGAATATATGATCCCACTGGTGTATTTCAGAGATTGCTTCCCGGCGGATTCAAGCTATTCTAGGGAGTCTGATGGTATTGCGCTTAGGGATATTCATCAGCGCGTTTTCCGAGTTTGATTGGGAGTTGACTGGACAATCTGTTTGAACAATCTATTCTGGGAAAATTAGTTATGTCCAGCTATCTCTAGAATATAGATACATGATTTGCAACTCTTTGCATTCAATGTTAAGTAGTGCTTGATTATTGCAGGAGCTGTATAGGTACTACGATGAGTGCTTAGTTTAATATTCCGTTAAGTATAGTAGAACCGGGATATAGAGAACAGACGGCCCCCTTGTTACTAGATTGATATCAGGTGAGATATTATTTATACGAATATGGAAAGTGCTCCGAATTGTTATTGATCATACAGTTTACTGTAGTAGAGTGGTCTCCAATCCCCCATAAATCAAAATCTCTAGATATCATATCTGGATGTTGGAAAGCCTTCTGTTCGTTACAGCCAGGTTCTACTGTAGATGTATCGACGGAGAGTATCGGACAGGGGAAGAAGAGTGAAACAGCTTGAGACAATGGATCATACATAGATCTCGAAGGGTAGCGCCATACGTGTAGTAAGCCCTCGACTACGTACGTATGAAGAGAACAACGCTCTGGCCAATATGCAAGGGCGTCACAGCAACACTCGGATTTCGGATTTCGAACGACACATTATCCAGGGTTCATGTGCACATAGCTGACGGCTTCCTCTTCTATTGGTTGATATCAAAGGTTGAAAACAATTTAACAAAGAAACAAGCAGCAAGGGTAAAGACAAGGATCTGACCCTTGGCGGGCATGTCGACCGAAATATTTCGGCTAATAATCCGACCGATCAGAGCCTTATATCGGAAGGATGAAAATGGCTGCCTAACAGTTCCATACCTGTTGGTTGCGATGATTTTATCATTCCTCATCGACTACTCGCTCAAATACCTCACCTAGGCTAGAATCCTCAAGTTCACACGATGGGGGGCCAACTAGGTTTTCTGTACAGACAACTCACATTCAAGCCAAAACCTATCCCGCCCAGCATCCGTCTGGAGGGCAAGACGGCCATCATCACCGGCGCTAATGTCGGTTTAGGACTGGAGGCTGCTAAGGAGCTGGCGGCACATGGATTAACCCGCCTGATAATCGCGGCCCGCGATGTCTCCAAAGCCGAAAATGGAAAAAAGGCAATTCTAGGACGTAGCCCTAAGTGCGATGTTCACGTCTGGAAACTGGACTATGGATCATTTGACAGCATTAAAAACTTTGGCGAGCGCGCAAGGACGCTTGATCGTTTAGATATTGTGATCTTATCGGCTGGCGTCAAGTATCTGGAGTATATAAAATCGAAAACTGGCCATGAAGCTCATGTACAGGTAGGTAATTTTCTTTTGCATTCAAGTCACAATTTGACATACATATCGAATGAAAGTCAACCAATCCTTCCTATTAATCCAGGTCAATCATCTTGGTACCGCCGCCCTTTCCCTCCTTCTTCTCGCACCTCTCCGAGCAACCGCCAAATCAACCGGAGCACCGAGCCGATTGACAATCGTCACATCAGAGGTGCATTTCTGGACTGAATTCGCCGAGCGCAAGGCCTCCAACATTATCGAGGAGCTCGACAAACCCAATTCTTTCAAGAAAGGAAGCATGGACCGATATAACGTGAGCAAGCTTCTCGATCTGCTCTGGTTGCGCGAACTCAGCACCAAAGTCGGAGACGATATTATCGTCAATGGCGTCAACCCCGGTCTTTGCGCCAGTGCACTACATCGATCGCATAGTGGTATCTCGAGCTTCAACAAATTATTTGCCTGGTCTGCTGAAGAGGGTGGTCATTGTCTGGCAGATGCAGCCACGGGGTATGAGAGAGACCAGGGCGTATATATCAGCGAACAAATCATCAAAAAGTCAGTTCATCACTAATCGTCAGTTGGAGAATTGAAATGTTCTGATATATTGTAGGCCATCGAATTTTGTCCTTTCACCTGATGGCAAAGAGACACAGCAAAGACTGTTTCAGGAGACGCTTTCCGTGCTCAGTGATGCACTTTCGGGAGTTGATTTGAAGAATTTGGTTAACTAAACAGTCGATGCAATTCGGGGTTCCAATATTGGGCAGTTCATCGTACGCTTATTTACCGAGGAGGTAGATAGTTATTGATTTTCTTCTATCTGAAAATAAACTTGTAATGAATTATTGTAGATCGACATATAGTAGAACCTGGCTATAACAAGTAGATGCACTGTAGCTTTCTAATGTCCGAATTTGATTTCTAGAGATTTTAACTCATACGGGTATGGAGAGCACTATAGTATAATAACCTGTCTAATCAATACCGATTTCGAGCACTCTCCGTATTCAAATGAATAATTTGCAACCTGGTATCAATATAATGATAAGGCCCTCTGTTTGTTATAGTTAGATTCTACTGTTATAAGTGTAGAAACGTCGCTTTCACGTCGGCGAAGGAACTTAAAAAGAGTCGCTCATGTAATAAACTTTCTTTCAAGATCCTCCCATGTCATTCGTACGCCTAAGATATTGTGATACCAAGGAGTGCATGAAGTATAAAGTGGATGAGTGTGTCAATTAAGGTACTATCTTTCGAAATCAAACGATTCAAAACCAACTCCAGCAAAATGCCCTAAGAGGCCCACATACTATTTTAATATTTTTCAACAACCACAAGATCTCTTTGCCAATCCAGCTAGACACCCTCAGTTCCCAGTTTCTAATTGAAGATAATTTCGTAGTAAATTTGGAGTGTACAGTACACCATCGGGTCTCCCTTGCTGTTGCCTCATTTTTTCAGAAATTATCTCCGTCTGTAGAACTATGAACAACCCCAAAGGAAATATCTCGCACGCTAAGACCTTGAGACAACTGTTATATTGTACGAAGATCGTGTGAGGCTGGGTCTTGTTCGGTGAAAACGGAATATCAATTTTGGTGCCATTTCCATCCCCTAATCCAAATCCACGATAGATACCACCCCTCCAGTCTGCAAATGGCCTCAATTGCCCGAGTCAACCATGAACGGCGTTCGATTCAGCCTGTTCGAAGGAAGTACGATGACGACTCGTAGAGCGAAGGAAGTGAACGAGAAAGACTTCATTACGTATCAAGACAGCAGGGAAGGGTGCTTCGGCTCCCAGACGATGTAGAATGTCACTTATTGGAGTGATTTGAACAGGTAAGAAATTATAGTGTCAATGACATGGAGAGGCAGAGATTAGAAGAAAGGATCATTTACACTAACAAGAATACTATCTGGCGGGAAAGGACTTTGGTCGCAGCATGTGATGTGTGAGATCCTGATCCGAACAACCATAGCAAGCGATGTCAGCAGCGGGCAATTACAAAAGTTGGGGATTGATCATGATCGTCGGAATAGAGTGTCAAAAAAACACATTCTGCTAGGAGGCAAGCATAGAGGTATGTTATCCATCTCTTAATTTCTGCAGAATCAGAGCTATTTACTCTTGAATGGTCATTGCACTAGCTGATACTGAACATGAACAGCAATCTGCAAGCTTTTTATGGGCTTTTTTGGGAGTAACGGGTTCGAGTACATGGGTAACGGGTGGTTGATTTCAAAAGATATTGTTGCCACCGCGGCCCACTGATTGTTTGACAGCATAGGCAAATATTAGCTTACTCGAAAAACCCTTTGTGTTGCTAAGACTCAAAGCCTTCTTGATCAATCCATCGGTAATGGATGAACACCTCGCCCATAAAAGCAGCGAAAGCATTGAGGACCAAATCGATATCTTTCTCTTCATGAACAAGATTGAGTGAGATGAATCCCCGACGGCCGAGATAGATGGAATGACGCAGCATGTGAAAGAACAACGCATCACGTAGCTTGTCTTGTGCTGGACCCTCGAACTTTATTCCAACCATACTGCCGAACCCCGTGGCACGTATCATTTGAATCTTATACTGCTTGACAAGAGAGTTGAGGCCGTTCCGGAGCTTGTCTCCAAGACTGTTCGCTTTCTCAATCCGGGTCGGGGTGACGATACCTGCAGCAGCAACTCCTGCAGCCATCGACAAAATATTATTGTTATACGTCCCGGAATGAGCCAATCCTGACTGAACACGAGGGTCTAGCAGAGCCATGATATCATTACGTCCGCCAAAGGCCCCGAATGATGGACCACCGCCGAGATACTTACCCAATGTGGTTATATCAGGCGTAATACCGAAATGGCCCTGAAGCCCATTGATGTGTAGTCGAGAGGTGACGACTTCGTCGAAGATCAGTAAAGCGCCGTACTTTGTCGCGGAGTCCCGGAGGAACTGAAGAAAATCTACCGTCCCAAGGTTCATCCCACCCGCTCCCTGCATTGGTTCGACAATGATGGCCGCCAAATCATGGTCCATCAGTAACCTTGTGTATTCTATGTCGTTGAAGCGGCCGAGAACAAAGTCATGAGGAATGTTTGTTGGCAGAGACTTGTCGCTAAAGCCAATAAACCCTCCATGATATCCATTTTCGAAGGCTAGAATCTGTTTTTTAGAATCAAGTTTTGTAAGTAACGTTCCACACATGATTTATAGCCGGATTTTACAAACCTTTCGTTTCTTGGTTATATTATTAGCGAGCGAGAGGGCCATAGTATTTGCTTCGGAACCCGAGTTGCAGAATCTCAGCTTATCAATGCTAGGAAAGCGATCTTTGATTATCCTCGCCAGCTTGACTTCGTTCTCCCCAGGGCCGCCAAGGTTGATGCCTTCTTTCAATGCGTCTTCAATAGCCTTCAATATCACTGGGTGGGAGTGGCCGAAAAAGGCGGCGGAATATTCAGACACACAATCCAGATACTCTTGTCCATCAACAGACGTGACATGCGCGCTCTTCCCAGAGGCAAAGGCGATGGGGAACGGGTCAAAATGCAAAACTGACCGAGTATTACCCCCTGGCATCACTTCCAAGGCGGCTTCGAATCGGCTCCGTGATTTGGGATTGTTGGAGACATATTCCTGTAGGACACGATTATACACATCTTCTAGCTTTCCTAACCAGCTTCCCTCGGGCGAAGCGAGTGCTGTGATCGTGGACTCGGCTAAACGACCCAAATATCCCAAAATTAGCGAGAAATTTACAGTAATTTTCAAGTAGGACGCATTTGGAGCCTGAGATTGTACATTTTACATCAGCCGATTTTGCCTCCATAACACTCGTGCCGTTTTCTACCCCCGGCATCATTTGCGACGACGAAATGAGCCTACCAAAACCGTATCAGGTTATCGCAGTCCAACGAAGGTTTACCTTGAATCATATTCAGGCTTACACTGAATCAAATATACCCGATATTTGCTCTTCTGCTCGGTACCTGACCGCTGTGGGAATGTTGTGTGCGTCCTGAACAAAGTCGGAATGAGGAGATGAATGATGGCCGACGGTATATCGTGGACGACTTGTAGATATAATCGTTACCGAGGGACTATCTGTGTTGTTGAAGTAGATTTTGAAAATCAGTTAAAAAGAATGTTGGTGCTGACCTTTATCTTGTCGGGGTGCAGGTAGACCTTGGCCTGTGTCTTTTTGGCTCAATTAAGCCGCCGGCCCATTTACTTTATAGTCACGCCGGAGCGTTTTCATACTAATTACGAGTCATTAGCATCGTGGGGTATGATCTTTTTTTTTGGTTGAAGAGAGGGGGCATGGAGGATTTTCCAGATTCGTCGTTATAACTTCCAACCTGGTCATTATCGGCGAGAACAGAACCTAGATACGCCTCCTTACAACTAATAATATGAGATGGCCGCTTTTTAACTTTCCTAGTTTTTAAGTGGCGTTAGGGTATAGTTCCTGTGTCACAGGTGACTTACTACGTTGTTGTTGTCACCTAGTGTATTTGTCGCGTGGAACAGGATTATCACTGCCTCTCAGACTGAGTAGCCTGAGCTATGTATCCATGTAAAGAAAGGAAGTCCGCCTCAATACCAGAATACTTCCTCATATCAAAGGTCACATATGCAAGTCAATAATAATACTTTGATGACATGGTACCTTATACTTGTCAGCTCGAGCTCAAAGGGTTCCTGCGTAGCTGAAAATCGACATGCGTAATATGCAGGGTGTCAAGATGTCAAGAAAGGCGATTCATTTGCGCATGGTCAGCAACTCCATTCGTGTACTTTATTATAGATATCTGATACTCAGGTCAAAATACCCATCTTGACAACTGCGTATATCCCGCCGTGAAAGACTTCGAATCGCAAGCTTTCTCTCTTCTATGTTGCTTGCTCCAGCCACTGACCTGAGCTGCATGTATGCATGCCAATCATCCAGGTCACTGTACCATCGTCTTTGAACCACCCCATCTGTCAGTGCTCTTATTCCGGCTCCTCCTTGACACCACCTGTAGTGGGCAATAATTCCGAGAGCCGAGCGCAAGGAGTCTACGCACTCTTCATCCATGTTCCGACTCACGTTCTGAAGAACTGTACAGACTGCGCGGATCACATCGATATCAAATCTGCTGGACTCACCGCAAAGAGCTTCAAGAATACGCCCTTGGCTGTCTATACTGCTGACTAATAGTTGGGGTGGATCTATTATCGCTGTAGCAAGTGTTCCATCTAAGGGTACGTGAAACTGCCACAAAGCTATAGCAAGTATCACTGATGAGGACAAGATGAAGAACACAGTCGCTGGTGAGATGGATTGAACCGTGGGGTCAAGTCTCGTAATCGTCGGAATGACCTGTAAGTAATCTCTAAGTCACTTGTCTCCTCCATTATTTCCGTCTTGGTGTAAAAGGAGAGGAGAAGTGTAAGAAGGGGGAGAGGGTTGAAGGCTCTTACATCCACCAAAAGCAATGCGTGCTCATATGCTGAATAGAACGAGGGTCGACACATCCATGAATCATTCAGTAGTAGATCGAGAAAATCCCTGGGAACATCTGCGAAGGATCAGCAAAGGACGGTTGCAGTTTTATAATTTTGGCCAGTGCGCTTACATGACAATATAAAAATGCCATGAATCCATATCATGGCTTCTGCCTGGTAGGCCTTTTGCACAGAATCAAAGTGCAGAAAGTCTGCAGGGAGGTTGAGATAAAAGTCTTCTAAAGAAGACCGCACTAGGCTCATTTCATTAGAGTCCAAATGAGACTGTATGGCTCTTCGCAAGAATCTTTATGTGAGAACAATAATCAAATTAGACCATTTGCACGTCTTTGTTAGGGTATAAGGCAAATTTAACTCAGCTAACGGCTTKAACAGCACTAGGTAACAGTTGACGTTGATCTCTGCCGAGTCTGCAGGTAGAATATCGCTTTCAGTCGGAGTTGCTCCTCCAATGAGGTCAATATTACCAAGTTGGAAGATTTGATGGTACAGTGAGAGTTGCTCGCGGTTCGAATTTGGGTGGTCAACATAATGAAGCAGGCCTAAAACGCTGCTTTCAATTGAGCCTGGGTCCAAACCACATTATACTGTATGTAGTGAGAGCTTACCTCTTTTGTATCTGAAGGAACTCGCCAGTACTGCATGGAACAATTTAGGATATCAGATGTAGGTGCGAAAGCCGCAGTGATTACTTACTGTGAATTGCGACCACCAGGAGGATCATTCTGATAGGGTTGCAGCTCGTCTTTCTCGCTCAAGGAGTCCACAATGATTTGAGCTAATGAGTTCCACCGAGCTGCAATCTCCACCAGACCTCGCTTCAAGGCCCAGGTGAAACTCGCCAGAGCTAACGTACTCGCCTGACATAGATCTAGATTCCGGGATTTCCAGGTCAGCATCGGAATGTACCGCATCGATTCGATGCGTAGGGTGTCTACAATAAGCTCCTTATTCCGATGAAATGCAGCCGACAAGTATCTTTCATCTTGCTCTACGGTGATGGCGAGCAGCATGTACCGAAGACATGGGGGATATATTGAAAAATCCACGCCATTCTCACTTAATGATACGTCGAAATGTGGATCCAAGTCTCGCAGGATCTCCAGCACGCCCAGGTCAGCGGATGATAAAAAGCGTGGCTGAAGTAATTGCGATACAAAGCATGGATCAAGGCCCAGGTGGTCAAGACTATCGGGTATAGAGTGTCCTGCATTGCGGGAAGAGTTCAGTCCCGTGCGATCGATTTGAAAAGAGTCGGCGAAGGGAGGGAAACTCGTCCTGGCGTTGAACTCACCAAGTACAGATGCAAAGTGGTCATCTTCGGAAATATTCTGACCAAGTGACAATTGCCTATCCCGATGGTGTTGTGGTTGGTGTTGTTGATGCTGCCGTTGTTCTTGTTGTTCTTGTTGTTCCAATTCTCCAGAGCTCTGGTCCTCGATCGGGTTTGCTACAGCTTGCTCGGATATGACCTCTCCCTCGTTGATCGGCGAATCTGCCGGCGACACTCTCAAATCTTCGCTATCATAGCGTCCGGTATGACTGGTAAAATTATCCCCGGTCTCGGGAGAAGTGATTGCCTGCGCGAGGGGATCTTGTGTCGTGGGGAAGCCGGCAGCTTGGTCTTCAAGCAGCGTGTGTCTTTTTGGTCTTCCTCTCCGACGCATCGGCCGGTCATTAGCGCATTCGAGCCCAAGCCTTGAGCAACGAGAACAAGGTTGTTCTCCATCGCATTGCGACTTCTAGCAGAGACCGTAAGCTAGATACGCAATCAATGGACTTCTTGAGGAAGACCCACCAGCTTCCAGCACCGATCACAAGCCCGCAGACGTGGCATCATAAATCACCCTGAGAATCCACCTCGGTCTTTGGAGGCGAGAATTACATTACCGGCACTAGATGAGTGACCTAGTGTTCGGCAACCCTTTCTAAACCAGAATTATCCTGAGCGTTGATCAGGCGGACAATAATGGAAGGAATTAACCTACTGATCGATGAGGACACTAAGTTACCACAGTAGTAGCAGTAGCATTAGTGTTAATGATTTGCTTTGTTATCCGCTGGAGTATTTTCACTCTTATCCTAACCTGTCGCCGACTCAGGCCTTGGCGCGCATGTTCTAGGGTTTCTAAGCCCACATCCGACCCCGCATCCGACCCCACATCCGAGCCCATACTCGAGCCCATATATAAGCCTGTATTGAAGCCTGTATACGAACCTCTACTTGGGTCTCTATGGAAGCTTCGATACAGCAATAAAAGTGGTGGAATTAGGTAGGATTTTAGTAGATCCATTCACTTATCCAATAAACGTACGTCGTGTAGAATGTGGAAAAATGTAAAATTCGTAAAATACGAAGTTTATTTTTAAGGTCGATATAGGCCCCGCTACTAGTACTTAATCAAGCCGCCCGGCCGAATCATGAATTGTCCCGCCGGGGAATTCTTACCTATTCATCCACCACCCTCCAAGCTCTAGCTTTGCTTGTCGGCAATATGGCAGGCAAGTTACTGAACCCTCCCATTTCAGCACCAGGTCTATCACTCCCGGGAGAGGACTATCAGAATCTACGTCGCCGTAAGTAGCACAAGCGTTGGCTTAAAGTCGAGTGACGGCCTTGCACTAATATCACAACGCTGCAAGTGGTTCGGCGTTGCAGGCTCACACTCACGGCAATCGACGGATCGAATAATGCTTTGTTGAATCTGCTCCTCCCACTCGCTCTCGCCTCGCCCTCAGTTTTCCACGGTCTTTTAGCGCTCTCCGTCCGATCTTCGAAACGCTCACTCCGCGATTTTAGCCATTATCAATCCACATTGCTGGAACTGGGCTCGGAAATCGCTCATCTAAGCTCGGACCTGTCCCATACTGAGAGAACCAAACAACTCCTTGCCTCATCTTACCTTCTCTGTCTGTTCACAAGGCCTTGGTGCGATGGCTCGTGGGTCCAGCATGTCAGGGGGATGCTCAGCATGTTACGCTTAGCCGACCACAATGCATTAAGGCAGTCAGCAGTCGGAGCGTTCCTCATTGGATCCTGTGCGAGCCTCGACGTTTCTGCATTCTCGGTGGGCAGAAAGCAGCTCGGCCAAAATCTGTGGCTCTCATGGATGACTCAATCTCCGGCGCGAGATTCTACGGATGCTTTCACAGCGTTAGAGACCATCACGGGATATCCTGAATCGCTTATCACTGTGATTGCCCACATCTCAGAGTACACGCAGAATCAAGCTTTCAATGATTTACAACTTATGGCAGTCCCCCAGACTAATTCTATATCCCCATCGTCAGGTAAGGGTGTTGTTGCTCCCCCCAAAAATACATATATGTAAAGCTTTTTACTTTCTATATTAAACCAGAGTCTCTTGTGCTAACAACTTTGACTGGTAAAGCCCAGGACGGCTTGCTGCATAATGCTGCTGACGAGCTAGAAGCATCTATATCCAAATGGACTTATCCTTCAATGGCCCCCGGGACGAATCCACTGCTGATATTTGCGCTACATACTGCATGGGAAACGATCCGTTTGGCAACATATATCTACCTATGGAGAGGAAGCGGCTTTTATGCCAACCTTTTAAAGCCATTTCCCGATGAAAAGGAGGCTAGAAAAGAGATGTATATCAACAAGACGCTGCTGAACATCGAGACAATCATAGTGATGGCAGAACAACAGGGGATCTCTGTAGCAAATGCTCTGCTTTGGCCATTAGTAACAGTGGCTTGTGAATGTGGGTTGGACGAAACACGTGATGCTCAAGTCATGAAGCTCCTTCATTGTCTTTTGAACATTTTCTCTCTAGACCACGTTCAAATAGTAATCAAAGCTATCGAAAGGGTATGGGACGCGAAGCGGCTGCATGCGACAGTTCATGAGCCACCGCAAAATGTGCAAGAAACATGTGTGAGTCTCGAGCTTGTGGCCAGGGAGATGAATCTTGTTATACCACTATTATAGAATTCGAGCGTGAGTGTGTAATTAAGATTACACAATTGTTGAATAAGAGAACCTTGGATCAATTTAATCCGTGTCATTTTACGAATTCATCTTTTACTGATTGTCTTATTGCGGTGTATAGAGGAATGAGGAGAATTCTTTCATTTTACAAGGATAACAGGCCAACGGTATGTCAAGTCTCAGGTACTACATTTCTGTCAGATATAGAATCCAGCGAGCCTTAACACGTTAAGTAAATGCCGCGCGTGTTTTCCGTAAAGGTACCTTAAGTCTTCACATGGCAGGCTTCATGTCATCTCCAATTTCGCTGTTATATCCCTCTAGCGGCGACGACTGCCTCACCTCCCGCAAAAGTTTACCATCGCAATGCTGAAATATGACAGTGTATCAATCAAAGATGAAACTCGAAATAGGTGCACTCTAATTTAAACATGCCTGACACAAGTACAGGCTCAGATTAAAGCTAAGGCGGCAAAAACTCTTAAATGGCAGAGTCAAAACCTGATAGCGGTGTGCTGTACAAAAGGCTCGGAATAGTAGATTCTTACACACATAATCACCAGGGTGAACCGGTGGTGCTACATGACGGACAGTCTCGAAAGCAAAGTCTTCCTTTCTAACGCTACTTGCTCAATTCCATAACTAAACGAGCCAGTGTTCCATTAGTGTCTGAACTGATGTGAACAGAAGGTTTCTTCTTCTTGACAATGCACACATTATTCTTTGAGCTCTCGCACTCGCGAAGGTTCCGGAACGACTGTAGCTCTCCCTGCTCACCCATCGAGTATCATAACTTAGATCCTGTATCTTCCAGGGCGCATCCCAACAGTAGTTCAACAGATTTTTCGACTGATAAAGATCTCTCAATACGTTCTGCTGTTATCATGTAGGGTTCCGGAAGCCAGTGTGGCCTAGGCTCGCCTAGCATCAAGCAAACAAGTGCCTCAGCCGCAAGCCAGCAATTAGCCATTCCATACCCATTAAATGCAATGGCTGCCCATTCATTTACTCCAGCACGATTCGATAGTGAATGTGGCACCTGACCAACGAGAGGAAGTCCATCGGACGAGAATCCCATAATGCCACTCCAGCCAGCCACCAGCTGATCTTCGGGGATGTGGGTGGATAACGAATTTGTGCAAAAGGTTCGCAAGCTGCGCTGAAGACTGGTTAAAGAGCTTTTCGCAATCTTTGTATCGTCGGCATGAAGCATTTCTTCCCATTTGGCATTGTCACCGCCGAAGAAGAACAAACCTGAGTTAGCGTTCTGGATGAGGTACATCAAACCGTCCGAGATAGTTCCTGTTTCAGGATCCTCTTTCGGAATGCTATGAAAAGCCCAAGAATAAGAGCTTCCTTGGTTCGGCACCTGAGACCCCAAGTTTTGAACGGTCATAGAGCCACACACAGGAAAAACACGTCCTCCGAGACCCGGAAGAAGATGCGCTGCGTGCCCATTCGTGCAGTGAATGACTTTTGCGCAGCGGAGTGTTCCCCGTGGCGTCTGGATAATATAAGGATGGGATTGATGCTCCTCATGGGTGATTGTAGTGACGGTGGTGTTTGTTTCGAGAGAGAATCTCGGCGAATACCTCTGCAGAAGGTCTTCAAAGACTTTGGTAATGAACCGGTAAGGCCACACTGATCCTGCTTTGTGCAAGAGAGCGCCGACTCCTTCATAGATTCCATAACCCTATTCGTGTAATAAAGTTAGTTTTTTGACTCTTCTTGCCCGGGTACTCGACCATACAATGGGCTCGTCTATTGGGCAGGAAATCTGTATCTTACACTCAGTTGATCGCCTGAGACGACTTGGTAAATACCGCTGAGATCGGGGTGGTCGGCTTCTAGCATACGGATGCTGGCTCTAACGTCCTCGAATAATTCCCTATCTAGGAACGTGCGCACCTTAGTTGTGTCCTGCAAGTGGCAGTACTCTGCGTCATACTGCTCCACTAGTTGTCGCATCTTTGCAAGATTTCTGAGAGTGAATCTCACAATGTTACCCGCACTCTGCTGGCCAAAAGTAGTCGCCAGCGAAGCATAGCTTTCGCCAGCATTGGTTGCAAGCTGGCCACCGTTTCGGCCAGTCGCCCCGGAGCAGAGTTGTCGGGCCTCGAGAACCAAGACGCTGACGGTCTTGTCTCTTTCAAGAAGTGTCTTCGAGACGGCCGCCCCAGTAACGCCAGACCCAATGACAACGATGTCCACGGTGTGCGGGAGAGTGTGGGTTTGGTGCTCGGCTAATTCATGGGGATCCTTCTGCCAGTAGGATTCAGTAGGCAGCGGGCGAGGCAGGCCCGGATCGATACGTATCAAATGGGCAATTAATCTTTCTACTTGAGCGCACCTTATCAGTTACCTTGCCTTCTCGTGCAAGTTGAGGGCTGTATCACCTTGCGACTTGTTGCGCAACATCGCCAAACGATCAATCCAGCGCCCTGCAGTAAGTTCTCAATCCACGGATCAGTTCTATTCGGTGACTTCCGAGTACTCGACGTCTCCAGATGGTCAAATATAGGCAGTGAGTTGCACGAGTTATGAATTCTTGTCGTGCAAGGAGTTACTTATTTAGAGCCAGCGGACTTTCACCGCTTTCATACCACCAATTGATTTATCACTAATCTTTCCTAGGCACCTAGTTATCCTTCATATATATTATGTGGCGCGCACAAAGTTTGGATTAGCTTCAACGATACAGTGCGACTGGGAGAGGGAAAAAGCCCGTGCAAGAACATCAGTCACGCACCCGCGAATCTCAGGTCGGGGCCGATACCGGTATCGCTAATGAGCAGCAGTATATTTATTCCCCGGCGGGGAAATGTGACTGATGAAAAGCGAAATGAGAAACCGCATTACCAAGCACTTTAAGGCCTACATTACCAGTCATGTAAGACTTATAAAACTTCGAAGAATTCAAGATTGATGCCTCTGGTCTCTGGCCTCAGGTTAGCCAAACAGATCTCAGCATGTCCAGCCTAAAGGTGCATCTCACGGCTCCCAACGGCCGCCGAATTGAGCTCTCGACGGGTTTATTCATCAACAATGAATTCGTCTATAGTGAAAAGAAAGAGCTGATTACAAGCATTTGTCCTGCGTTGGTTTTTCACGGTCGATAGAGCGATGAGCAACGGTCACGGCTGACATGACTTTCTAGTGACGAATCTATCATCGCCAGTGTACAAGCTGCTTCGGCGGAAGATATGAACAAAACGGTCGCCGCGGCCAGGGCAGCTTTGCAAGACCCTACTTGGGCTGCCTTGGATCCCACCGACCGTGGTCATCTCATCTACGAGCTTGCACGTCTAGTAAGAGAAAACCGGGAGGATCTAGCCACTCTAGAGTCCTGGGACAATGGAAAGCCATATTCCGTTGCTCTTGAAGAGGACATGATGGAGGTAATCGGGTGTCTGGAATATTACGCTGGCTTCGCAGACAAGATGCATGGGCAGGTCATTCCAGGCTCACCCGAGAAGCTAGTATATACGATCCATGAGCCCGTGGGCGTCTGTGGTCAAATAATTCCCTGGAACTATCCCCTGGGTATGGCAGCTTGGAAACTGGGACCAGCACTCGCGGTAAGCTCATTAACAAGTCGTCTTCTTTGAGCAAAATTTCTGACTGCAGTCATAGTGCGGCAACACTGTTATTTTGAAACCTGCTGAACAGACTCCACTAAGTATCCTGTACCTTGCAGATCTGGTGAGGAGAGCTGGGTTCCCTCCTGGTGTCGTGAATATCGTCAATGGCTACGGACGAGTGGCTGGKGCGGCTCTTGCGCAACACCCAGACGTCGATAAAATTGCATTTACAGGGAGTACAGCGACCGGCCGAGAAATAATGAAGTTGGCAGCAGGAACGCTGAAGAGCATCACTCTCGAGACTGGGGGCAAATCTCCGTTGATAGTCTTTGATGATGCTGATTTGGACCAGGCAGCTAAATGGGCACACCTGGCTATAATGAGTAACCAGGGCCAGATCTGCACTGCTACAAGTCGGGTCATCGTCCAGCATACTATCTTGGATCGCTTCCTGCATGCAATTCTACAGCTAATCGATCGGGAGACACGTATTGGAGACCCTTTCAGTGCGGAGACTACTCATGGACCACAAGTCGACCATTCTCAATATCATCGCATTCTGTCCTACATTGAGTCCGGAAGAGCAGAAGGAGCAGTAGTTCAGATAGGTGGAGAAGCGTATACCGGTAGTACTGGCAAAGGCTTTTACATAAAACCTACGGTCTTCACTGAAGTAACCAATGACATGAAAATCTACAGGGAAGAAATCTTTGGTCCGGTTCTAGTAATCACTTCGTTTGTGACGGAAGCAGAGGCTTTGGAAATGGCGAACGACACAATCTATGGTTTGGGAGGAGCTGTATTCACCCAAAATATCACAAAAGCTCACCGGGTTGCCCGGAAAATTGAAGCTGGTACTGTTTGGATTAACAGTAGCAATGACAGCGATATCCGGACCCCGTTTGGTGGTTACAAACAAAGTGGAATTGGAAAAGAGCTAGGAGAGGCTGGGTTGGCTGCGTACACCAAAGTCAAGGCCGTCCATGTAAACTTAGGTATCAACCTTTAGTGGTCGCAATAGATTGCACGTTGTTTCAAGCCGCTCCGTACTTTATCGAGAAATTCAGCTCAGACTCAATTGGAGACGAGGCATCTAGATAAGTATTCCAAGTGGAAATGGTAGTTTTGCGAAAAGTAATAATCTCGCCTGATGGCCACATATGCGAGACGGCCACGATTATGCTTGGGTATCATGGTCGAAAAAGATCCTTTGTGATATGAAACAAATTTATCGCCTGGAAACGACAAGTTGTATTTACTACAAAGTATCTATTTAGGTCGCTGCCTCTTGTTGAAATTCATTCTAACTATTTGTTCCTCTATGGCCAAGGACTCCGAATGATCACAAAAAGAGTGCCACCATCAATCTTGATATCATTCCTTCATTGGTATCTTTCTTGCAGTAAATTTCAGCTTCGACCGTCTTGCATGATATTTTCGGTAGAATAGATGTTTAGATTATTTCAACGAATGTATACACCATTATCTAAAGTCGTGTTTGATGAGTGTTTGGTCAGTATATGCTTCAGTTCGCTCCCAAGTCATGAATAAGTTCTAAAGGAGTCCCTAAAACGTGACTGTGTGTTTCGACACCAACCTGGAAAGACTAACACCGTCAAGGGGCTGTTCTACACTCAGATGACCAGCGGCACACTTTTAGCACAGGACTTCACGATATTACAGTAAACAACCACCCAATTAGGAAATACTGCAATCATCGGCCCAAGGGTGTGTATTTGCAAGATTGATATAATCCTGAATATCCTTGGCATAATAGAAAAAATTCTCCGACGGTGGATTTCGCCTCACCACGAAACTCTCTCTAAACTTTCGAGGCCGCGGACGGGTGACAACGCTGACCTAAGAGAAAAGAAAAAAAAAAGTTCAGGTTTAGACGGCAGGCTCTACTTCTTTATTATTCTTTCTACTGTTCCTGGACCATCTACTGTTCATCCCGCTCCTGGGAGCTGTCTCTGGTCTTTTGCATCCTCAACCTATCCCCTTCCGTGGCAGTACACTTTCCATCATGCCTTCCACTAAATCCCCCGAGAGTTTTGAAAACGGCACCACAAAGTCCTGGAAGCAGCTTGCCACTCAGAAACGCGCTCAACGTGATCAGTACGTATCGTATTGGCAGCCAGGCCCTGTGCCTGCTTTACCTCCAGGTAAAACGTACGTTCGCGACATTCCTCGCTGCAGTGGACTTCTCACCGAAGAGCAATTCCACATCACTGAAAGCTCCACGAGCCAGATATTGGAGAATTTAGCCTCTGGATACTGGACCGCTGAGTCAGTAATACGGGCCTTCATTGCACGCGCCACCATTGCCCACCATCTAACAAACCCTCTCACAGAGGTTTTCTTCGACCGTGCCATAGAGCGGGCCCAGGATCTCGACAGAGTCTTGAAGGAGACAGGAAAACGAGTTGGGCCGCTACATGGACTACCAATGAGCCTCAAAGATGTGATGCAAATAGCCGGACAGGAAACGACGGTGGGCGTCGTAGCAAATATTGGCTACATTCCCGCGGTAGAAGACAGACTCGTGACGAAGCTTCAAGATGCCGGGGCCGTATTCTACTGCAAAACTAATGTGCCCCAAACGCTGATGTCAGGAGAGTGCAATAATTTCATATTTGGACGCACCTCAACGCCTTTTAACACGTTACTGTCTGCCGGCGGATCGAGCGGCGGCGAAGGATCTCTTATTTCCCTCGGCGGTAGTCCGTTAGGAATAGGAACAGATATTGCAGGGTCCATCCGGACACCAGCAAATTTCAATGGTATTTATGGCCTTTGCCCTTCTCCTGATCGTTTCCCAAGCCACTCAGCAGAAAATTCATCGGGGGATTTAATCATCCGCGGAGTGGCCGGGCCCATTGCCCGAAGTATAGATGGGCTCGAAGTCTACGCTCGAACGTTGTTGGGGCTCAAACCTTGGGAGTGGGACTATACCTGTATCAAGATGCCCTGGAGAGAAGAAGAGTACCAAGCAGGACGAGGTCAAAAACACCCTTTGTGCTTCGCGTTTATGCCACATGATTCAGTCGTCTATCCGAATCCTCCTATTCTGCGCGGGATGCAAGAATTGAAGAGCGCTCTGCTACGTGCAGGGCACGAAGTTCTTGATATTGTGCCTTGGGATGGAAGAGAACTTATGGATGCTGCCTGGTCAATTTTCTCGGCGACTGGGGGCGAGGAGATTGTGAAAATGCTCGGTACTTTTAACGAGCCTTTAATTCAAGAAGTCGAAGCTCCCAATCCTGCAAAAAGGCTCTCGATATTGCAATTTAATAACGTTATCATTAAAATCAAACAGCTTCGGCAAAAATATCTCGACATATGGCAGGCGACAGCGTCACAGACCGGGACGGGTATGCCTGTTGACGCGATCATTTTACCTTCGGGTGGAACAGTTGCTTCACCACATGGAACAATGGAATACTTCACGTATGAAGCCATTTCCAACATTCTGGAGTGGACTTGTGCGACTATCCCAGTGACAAAAGTTGATCCATTGCTTGATCCGAAACCGCAGGGACCATTTGAGCCAATGTCAGATCATGATCAGCGTAACTGGAATAAATGTGGGTTCCTCTTCAAGTTGTCAAATCTTTTTATTTTTCATCTTTTTTCTTACATAAACGGTTACGGTGGACTGATACTTATTTTTGTTTCTATATGCAGACAGTCCTGAATACTACAAAGATGCCCCCGTTTGCCTACAGGTCCTCGGACGCCGGCATGAAGAGGAGAAGGTTTTGGGTCTACTCAGAACAATAGACAATGCGCTAGGCAGAGGAGAATTTTATATGGCATAATCTCAAAAGTCGGACTTTGCAAGCCCCTTGTTACTTTCAATGTTAATTTGTAGCGCGCCGTACTCGCGGCCCAGTAACAGCCCAACGTACGAGCAAGATATATAAGGGGATTGACGTTTACATTTAGCCTAGCTAGTGGATTGAAGGTGAGTTAGTATAGAGAGAGCATTAAGATTAGAATAACAAAGGCGTCTACGGAGACAACTTAATAAAATAAAGGGCCTAGATGAATCTGTGAAGACAAATAGGGCAAACATTGAAAGAATTTGGAAAGTTCCCTTGTACCTAGGTACGTGAGATTCAGGACAAACGCGCTTTTTCTAGGCAAAGAAAGTAGAGTGATACTTTAGTTCACCACGTATGCTTGCCCTTCAATATTAGCCACTTCCAAACTCGGCTTCTCGTCGAGCCTGCTCAACGTAAAGCACACGGACTCGCTTGGATCGGATAATAGACATCTGAGATCCAGCTGGGATCCAAAGTAAGCTTCCTGCGGTCAACGTACTTATTTCCCCATTGCACTCGTTCTTAATGACTAATTCGCCTGAGTAAAAAGAATACCATCAGCCAATGAAACGCATGCCATATCCATTATTCGCATGGCCTCAAAACGAGGATTGTAACCGATCAGAATAGGCAATCCGACGTACCCGAGAGAATGTACTTGACCTCATCCCAATCTGCCTTCCAGCCTGGAGTGGTCTCATCCAAATCGGAGACATGCCAAATACCAGCGACAATAGGGTGCTCAGCGGATTCACTGTTGCAAATTTGGTTGGTTTAGTGCTTGGTCTCTACATATCACGTTCAAACTTACGATGACCCAACTAGATCTGTAAAAGTACCAGGGCCTTCTTGAATCTTCGGGACGATAGCATCAGCACCATTGACCACCACGATGTTGGGTGGCATTTGTGCTAATAGATTACGCTGTCAAGTCGAGGTTATTCTTTCCTGAAACAGGGCTCCACGGGATATCAAAACCACAGGTGCTTTTCTCACTGGGGCAATTGCCTAGGTAAAAAGGAGGCAGACCCGCTCTATTTAAACTACCCCTCTTTGGCACAAGGAGAAAGTACTCAAGTTCGGAATAACATTGAGATCTAATTACCGATAGTATTGCTATGATCTGTGACTGGCACAATATGATGAAGCGGATATCTCTGAAGGAACCATTAGGCTTGAGACCGTAATAAGCAGAAGTTGGGTAATTGGCCGTCCCACTGGTAGTTGACGAAGATAATGAACATTAGATAAAGCACCGGCGGCAAAAATTCACTCATCAGGAAGATTAGCTTGGAGTGCCGTCGGCCCGCTGGGAAGCTTTCTGAGGAGGCAACTCCACAAAGAGGTCGAACTCTATTATTGAATTCTACCAGATGCATAAATCTCAAGTTTCTCAAGTAGCTGTATAATTTATTTCAAGTCTAACTGTGAGACCACCTGCACGGCGACCTTTTTCGAAAACTTTGTGCATTGGGGCTGATATCAGCAAGATATACTCATACGTTGCCAACATGGCGTATGCTACGCAAGATCACTGGGCGGAAGACTTCATTACTGCCTCGACAAGTGGTCAGACAGCTCCCAGCCCAGCCGCGTTTCCTGAATCTCCTCACGCTTCGAGGAGCTACTGGATTCGCGAATTTCCAATACCCTTTGAAGATCAATGGATTAAAGCTCCAATCCAATCAGAGGTTGACGTGGCAATTATCGGCTCTGGGATCAGTGGTGCGTCCGTTGCGTATGCACTGTCCGAATCACGGCCGGGTCTCAAAATTGCGATGTTTGAGGCTCGGGGTATCTGTACTGGTGCCACGGGACGGAACGGTGGCCATATTGGACGGCCAGAGGCCTACAACATGATTGAGATGTCCAAGATTTTCGGAGTTGAGGATGCGGTGCGACAGCGACAGCTTACGAGGATTAATCGTGAGATGATGATTGACACAGTGAAGAAATTGGACGCGGTTGAAGAAGTTGACTTGAGCATTAAAGGCACTCTAGTTGTTTTCAAGGATGGAAACGAACGACAGAAATTTGTTGATGATCTCGCTTACGCGAAAGAGATAGGATTAAAGACCGAAGGTCATGTGGTGGACGCAGAGTGGGTTTCAAAGGTAAAGATAAAGTCAACAAACTAATTCAGACAGTAGCTGACGTCCACCCAACTAGCATCTTGCGATTAGCCCCAGCAAAACACAGTTCGGTGGAGCATACCTCGAAAATTCCGGTACGATATACCCGAGAAAGTTTGTTTCACTGCTTCTGCAAACAGCTCTCGAGCGAATGAATGACTTCTCCCTCCATCCTTATACTCCTGTCTCGAAGGTCGACTTTGACTGTGACGCAAGTGACCATAAGTTCACTCTAACGACAAGTAAGGGGCAAGTTAAGACGAAGATCGTCTTTCATGCGACGAACGGTTATGTGTCTCATGTTCTACCGTCGATGGCTGGCAAGAACGGAGTTATCGGCTGCAGAGCACATATGATCGGGATTTCACCCAACCTCCCTCGAACAGCAGTACAGCTAGAAGGGGGATTCGGCTATGCCGACTTCTGGCATTGGATTCTGCAGAGGCCCAACAACGGCCCCTATCTATATGGATTAGCTACAGCAGAAAAAATGGGGGACTACAACGACACGACTACGATTCCAGATAACGATCCGATCCGCATGGAGATGCTATCGTTTTTAGAAGAAGTATTTCCTCATAGCTTCAAAGACCTCACGGTAGAAAAGGACATTGTATATGATTGGACTGGCGTCCAGGGATTCACCGCCACTGGCGCGAGTATCGTCGGTCGCCCGAATCCTGAGCGTCGTGGAGAGTTTGTTTCGGTTGGACACAACGGCGAAGGAATGGGACGTTGCTTTGCATGTTCAGTTGTGATACATGAAGCCATTCTGGCAGAGCTTGATGGCATTACGACCTGGACGCCTCCTGCTTGGTTTCCAATGTCGTATCGGCGAAATATATGAAAGGAAAAAAATAACTCAGACTATCACCCATCCTCGATTGCTAGCTTAGCTGCATTGGCTGCAAAAGATAATAACAGACAATCAGGATGTTTTTGAACGGTAGAAGGGACTGCAGTTAGTCAAAAGGCTGAAAAGCCAGCCTATTCGAGCACATGATAATCTAGAAACCGGAGTTCAATCTCCACGTGTAAAGTACTGGGATGTATTAAGAAGCGTGATGTAGTAACATTGTGCCTTGCAGCTGCTATGAACAAGCACAGCTAATTCTTTTACAGCCTTGTTGCATGAAAACGCTGGGTAGTCAAGATCAATTTCGCTAGTTATCATCAATAAAAGGAGCCCTTTGGAATTAATGCCCACTAATACGAAAATCATAATACGAAAATTAGGGGCAAGGATTTCGATAGGAACAGGTACCTGCAGGCTAAGGCCCGAATTCATTTCTAGCGGATCATCCGGTACAGCTGGAAAATATCTAACCGCAACTACAACAAATATGCCGTCGGCGAATTCTCTCGGTGTCTGTCAGATAAGAGTTCTTTAGTAGTGTGCCAATTGATGATTACAGAACTTCCGGAAACCCATATTCTCCACACACGATGCGGGGATAGAGACTCGGCAATTATGAAGCGTATGACTTTGCCTTTCTGAGCTTATCGCTGTGCAAAAACGCATTGATCAAGAGTATCTGACTGTGGATGCTCTCGGATGTCGTATATGAAGAGATGCCTCGAGCTCGTCGCAAACTTTCGAATGCATACTTCTGAAGAAGTATTCAACAGTCTCCTCCAGAGGGACGAACATTTCTTTTGGCTGAAACCATACACTATATTTTGCAATCCTTTGCGTAGTATAGCCGTATCTTACCTCACCTTTTCCCACAAGAATGGATTCAGTCCAAGAGCTCCCGAAAACCCCCAAAATTGTGTCCGCTCAGGAGAATGTGGTCAAGATGGGTAGTGACTATATCGAAGATAATACGATGCTGGAACTCGGCTATGTCCAAGTTTACCGCAGAGTTCTCCGGTCCGCGGGAAATATGTGCATGGTAATTGCCTTGACATCGTGGGTGACGCTGCAGTGCTATGTTGTTGACTCAACAGCTTATTGAGAAAATAGACCGCTGAGTGCGATTTTAATTACGGGATTTTATCAAATCACATTTGCTGGCTATTGGGGTCTGTCATGGTGCGAGACCGTCTCAATTCTTTGCACCAAATGCATCTATCGAAATTCTAACCTGGTAACAGGGGATGGATTATTCCTAACGTTATCATGTTTGCTGAGGTTCTCGCAATCAGCGAATTGGCATCATCGATGCCTGTCAATGGATCGTTTTACTGGTGGGCCGGAGCACTTGCACCTCCACAATTGTCTCACTGTATTTCCTACATCACAGGATGGGTGAATCTGCTGTCCATATTTACCGGCACAGCGAGCTTTGCTTATGCAGTAGCCACCTCCTTCTCGTACTCTGTGAATGTTGCACTGCCTACCCTCCTTTGGACAAACCCGCAGCTAATGGGACTGTCAATGGGTGTCGTTGTATTATGGGCCGCCTTGATGACATTGAAGCTCGAGAAAATATCCATTATCTATGTGAGCATGGGTACGTCCTCCGTTTGCCATCCATGGCCTCTCCCTCTATTATCCACTAACCGGTGAATGTTTAATATCCATAATCAGCCGTTATCATACTCGTTCAGACTGTTCTATTTCTGCTCGGATTGCCGATCACACATGCTCTCCAGAATCAACCGTTTGCCTCGGGCAAACAGGTTTTTGGCGAATTGTCGAACTTCAGTGACTGGGGCCTCGCAGTCGCAGTCCCTTACTCTTGGTTTTGTGCGATGTGGGTAAACTCGGCCTGGATGATTCCAGTGTACATGGCTGAGGAGACACATCGGGCAAGCACGGAGATACCCAAGTCTATTATTTTGACATTTACGACGACAGCGGTAGCTGGCCTAGCAGTCTGTCTGATCAGCGCGTTCTGCATTACCGACATTGAAGTAGCCGCATTGGATCCTTCGTAAGAAATCCGTTCTTAGACCCTCAAAAGTATGATGCTAATCTCGTTGCAATTCTCGGTAGTGGATATCCTCTTTACGATCTAGTGATCTCCCATTGGGGTAAAACTTTGTCCGCCGCCTACTTTTTGGTGGTCACGCCAGTCGGATTTGTCGGGGGCAGTGGCACTTTACTCACCTATGCCAGCCAGATCGCTGCTTTCGCCCGTGACGGTGGCCTTCCATACAGTGAACATTTCGCTTATGTTCATCCACGGATAAATGCCCCTATCTACTCCATTGCCCTGTTAGCAGCCGGTACCTTCCTTGTGCTGCTATTTGCGCTGTCCACCGAAGCCAAATCTATCATTTACTCTCTTTCCGTCGTCGCTGGATTGTTCACGTTCATCATTCCCATATTCTTCCGGGTTTTTGCGGGTAATCGATGGGTCCCCGGCCCGTTCAATTTGGGACGATGGAGTATCCCTGTCCACAGCTTCGCGGTGATCTCACAGCTTTACATTGTGGTTATGGAATGCTTTCCAATGGATCGTCAGTGGACTGCTTCTACAATGAACTATAACTTTGCTGTGGGTTTGGGCGCTGTCCTGATTGCATGTTTTCTTTATTTCTTCGTCGGCAAGAAGACGTTCCGGGGACTGAACGTTGAAGTTTTGGCGGCCAGAACAAGACAGCATAACGTCCATGTCGATGGATAAGCCCTGATTTTTGTTGCAATTTGGGGTTCAGTCTAGGATGTACGAAATTTTGAATTTCTTTTTATTCTGTTTTCGTTATTTTTGAAACAGTCTATACCATACCAATTCATCATATACATTTGGTTTAAGATCTTCCAGACTACGGAAGTAGGTCTTAAGTAACGAGCATAGCATTGTAAGTTACGTTAAAAATGAATCTTCTGGTCCAAATTATAGTTTCTGTAGGCCGAATCTACCGTGCGCATCTTATAGTTGAGTTTATTTAATTAACATCTCACAATCTCAATGCTACTCAAAATCAACAGGGAAGTTTCTGCTGAGGAATGAGATAATATATATTTTTAAATCTTGGCATAATATCTCGAACTATTATTGTGAAAATACTAAAACTACCACTAGCCTGATTCTCACAGAATACAGATGATATCACCCTCAGCTATAACCCGATGCACAAACTTACCTTTTTCTGGTCTGACCTGGTATTATTGAGCTAATATCCTGCATTGTACAACACAGCACATAACCAAGTCCAACAAATCATTCGGAGCTCTACGGATCATGCATGTAACTTTACCGAAACCTTAGGCACTTTGTATGTGCTACAACTGCCAGCAAACTGTCTGCAGTGTTCTAGCCCTTAACCTAACAAACTGATTTGGTATCAGACATTATTGGCTACTTGAGCCAGGGATTTATCAACCATCAGAATTTGTCCAATAGTATGCTTTACCAACTGCCCGTTTTTTCGTCAGCTTTCGCTGCTTTTAACTCCTTGTTTCTTCACCCTTTTCTTTTTCTTTCCCGATGGATTGGACACCAGATCATACTATACAACGGTGGTCATAAGAGATATTTTTACAGGGTTTCAAGTTGTGTTGTTCTGATTCTGAATCATGTCTAGGGCGATCTATTGACCCGGATCATTCTGATCTCAGCTCGGTAGCACGAAGTATCATGCGCTTTGATAGTTTTCGGGACACTGGGGATGATATGATTTTCCCGGAAACACGGACGATTACAGGAGATAGCAAGCATAGCTTATCATTTATTGAAAAGAGGAGAAATTGGTGGGGCGGGCAAAGTGTTACGGTGTCCACAAAAAACACACAGACTTGGTAAATTAATTGCCATATATCATGGCGTTTTATAACCCTGACGAATTGTTGGATCCAATTGTCCACCATCTGTTGCGTGAGTTACAGAGTCGTGATCATGAGATTTTTGACCCAATTTAATTTCCCGTCCGTCATACCATCATCCGATTGCTTTCTTTGTTCTTCAAAGCCCTACGTGGTAACCATAATGGACGCGAGTCATTCCCACATGGTCGACCTGTCACCTAAGTTGATAAATCACATAACTATATTCACACTTGCATAAGGTCTTCAACCAATTTCGCCGATCTTTCAGTGGCTGTTTGTCGTAGACTACTAGATTCCACCTAGTACCTCTAGTGCAAGACAACGAACAACTCCACATATTGCCCACACCGTCACTTCTGAGACCTTCAATTTATGTTGCAAACCGAACTCAGATACGACGTATGCACGTGGGTCGATTGCAGACTAGAGGGAGAAAGTGTCCTCCAATCCATCTTTCCCGGGTACTATAGTCTATGCTTGTGATAATACTTAATGCTCCCGGTATAAGACAGTGGCTTCCCTGTAACGCTAGTCGCTACCTAATTTCCTGTCTAATTGTCTTTGCTATAGTACAGGCTTCCAAAATCTGGGTAGGGCAGTCAATGACATCGCCCACGGATCAATTGAATCGTCTGATAACAAGATATTGGAAACGTCTTGGGCTTAGCGTGACTCGGGCACTTCTATCGAGTTCATCTCTCTCAAAGGTTACACGCGTCAACCTTCTTCGACCATTTCTCAATATCTCTTCGAAATACCTAGGTACCTGGGTACATAACAGATCACCTCTTCGGCTCGAGAAAGAATTGAGAATACACCAACGTCGACATGTCAGGCCCTATTTCCGCACAGGCTGAGGCCCTTGTCTCCAAAATTAAGAACTTTGAGACTTCGAAGGACAATCTCAGTCGAGCTGAGCGTCTTCAATTGGTTCAATCTTTGGAGAAGTTGACATTGCAACTGAAAGATCCCAAGGATGCGATTTTCGATCATCTGACCAATGTATGATTTCAAACTTCAAGTCATGTCTTTGCAAGTCATGCTTAATTTTTTTTTTTTTTTTTTCGAACGGATAGGTCTTCTCCCTCGTCAACTTGCGAGCTTTGCTGGAGTTGGAGGTGCCGCAGAATATTCCCACGACAGGAAGTATTTCAGCAACAGAACTGGCCGAGAAAGTCAAGGCTGATGCATCGTTGATTGGTATGCATAATTATGACGGATCTCGAAAAAGAAGACGCAATTTCTGACACGTCAACAGCCCGCCTCATGCGAATACTGACTGTGACCGGTATCTTTGCCATGGTTGGCCCTGATGAATATGCTCATACGCCCTACTCCATGGCTTACATTGAGGGACATGAAGTGGACTTTCTCAAATTGTGGTGTGTATTTACTACTGGTATACTTGCATACTATGTGCTAATCGAATTATCAGCTGCGATGAAATCCTTACGAACACCTCCCGTCTTCCTGAATATTTTCGTGCAGTCGGTGGCCGCGACACTACCAGCATGACTGAAAACCCCTTTTCATGGGGAAATGGCAAGCTAGGATCCAGCTTCTTCGAGATCATTTCTCAAGACCCACGCCGAATCAAGCAATTCAACGTCGCCATGTCTACCCAGGACCACACGTTGCCCGTTTTGGGAATGTACCCCTTTGGCGAAGAGCTCCGTGATCTTCCTGATCTGGGTAATAGAGCTTTGATCGTTGACATCGGCGGTGGTAGAGGCCAGTCATTGTTACAGATCAAGGAGAAGTGGCCTGAGCTACGGGGAAGAATGATCCTTCAGGATCGACCAATGGTCCTCAACTCGTTTCCTGATTTGCCTGGTATTGAGAAGATGCCTCATGATTTCTTCACTGAGCAGCCTGTGAAAAGTAAGTTTTTCATTATTCCTTGTACCGAGCACTCTGTTCTGACAGGGAACCAGACGCGCATGCATACTACATCCGCCGCTGCATACACAACTGGACAGACGAACACTGCATCCAAATTCTGAGAGCGATCGTTCCATCTATGGCTTCTGACTCCCGCGTTCTCATCGGTGAAATGGTCGTCCCAGAATTCAACAGTGTTCGCCCCGGTGGAGTCGAGGATATGGCTCCTTACTGGATGGACCATAATATGTTTGCATTTGGTGGACGGGAGCGCACAAAGTCGGATTTCGAGAAGCTTTTTACTGCTTCGGGTTTGAAGTTGGTTAAGGTGTGGCAGAGTGAGGCATCGAGTCAGGCTGTGTTGGAGGCGAAGTTGGCTGACTAAGTCATGTGAATGTGGGAGTCACTGAATTGAATATCTCTGTCTTGTCTTTTGTGTGGTATGTGTGTGTGTGTGTGTAGCTAACTGTGGCATGAACTCACGTGGGCAGGGTTACCCTCTCGCCTAGTAAAGCTATGCCCAAACAGGCACCGCTATCTATAAACAATACGGGGTCTTCCGTCACGCTTTTTTTTGATGCGATTATGATAGTGGGCGTTCGAATGGTCGATGTTATGTAGTCATCAATCAATAGTGTGTAACCAACAGCTAGTCATCAATTCTTTCAAAAGAAGAGAAATAATGACGAATATATCCGTCTAATGTGTATAGTATTTTGTAAAAGGAATATAGGTGACTCTCACAGGATGTCGCTCCTTGATTGGTCATGTATCATCGTGATCCAAAAAATTTCCCAAAAAGGAAATAATGGAAAAGTTCAGATTAGCCCTAACCGGCGACTCTGACTCGAACGGCAGCGACACCCTCAGTGATAAATGTATGCCTCAATATATACTAGACATGAGATGGACAAAAGGAATATAATCCAGCATGATCAATTTGAGTCATCTGTGATTGCAATGCTGTGAGTCGCAGGGAATCGAGTGACTCTGCTTGCTATGAGTATAATCTCGGGAAAAGCGTAAATTATTATAAGAAGTGGTGAAAGTTTCCTCGTAATTTCTTCTTGACACTTCTACCTTCTGCAATCATTTCTCTGAGACAGTTCTCTTCGAGTTCAGAGTGTGAACTTAGTGAATTAATATTGAGAATACACAGGTAATCCTCTTCTATTTAGTCCCATCCTTCTGTTACTGCAAGCATCCAAAAGAATGTCTTGGAAATGATCTTTCGTTAATGAATAAGCCGAGGAAATTCAAGCAGCTCTCAACCTTTGAAAGACATGGCCAGTAAGGGCAAAGGACGCAGTGAAAAGTATAGTCTCTTGACAATACGGCCAAACAAACCTCGATCACAGCCAACTTCAGGTTAGTCTTTTTCCTAATACTGGGAGATGATATTATCATTTATAAAATATTATTTGTGACTGATTGATATGGCATAGCAAAGTCAAGTAGCTTGAAAGCACGAGACCAAACTGATGACAGAAAATCAGCAACCAAAGATCACAACCTATCCACGGTGCAGCCAACCAAATCAACGTCACGACCAACTCCCAGTTAGTCTATTTTTCTCTGATAATGCTTACTATCCTCAGATTTCAGTTTCGAGATCCGGTCGTCGCTGATCGACATGACATAGGAAAGCCTGGAATCTCACGGAGTGAAACCCAAATCGATAATACAGAAACAGGCACCAGAGAATATAGCCTGGAATATTTAAGGACATATATCAATAACATCTACAGGGAATTTCAAATAGAAAATTTCGTGGCATTTTTCGGCGCACATTTCGAAGTCCCCGAACCGCTTCCAATGACGGACCGGCGTAAAGTACTATCAAATGATGACAGGTTTTGCAGGAATTTCTTGGAAGAAGAATCCTACAATATATCAATCATTGATATGGATACAAACTCGGAGTATGAGCACCGGATCATAACAACATACATAGCAAATTCATTGGTCGATAGCTCTCCAAAGTCTGGATCAATGCTTATACACATTTATTGCCATGAAAAAGTGGAAATGATGACTCCTTTCTGCTTGACTTCCGCGCTCCTCCGGTTTTTTATGGATATGCTATCTCCTGATTCGTTCGGAGACTGTCTTTCCATCAAAGTCGGTGATCAAGCAACACAAAATGAAACGAAGTATTATGACCCTACCATGCAACTCCTGGAAGCGTCGGTTTCTCTGCTTCTCGAAAAGTATCAGAAAAAAACAATGCACTTTATATTCAGCGACATGCACCCGCGCCACACGGATGCGGACCATCGACTCGCTCTATCACGTTTCATAATTGATATGGGTCACCTTGCGAGTACAGTCCTTCCGAGGGGGGGAGAGAGAATGGTGAAATGCGTATTTTGTGGTGATATACTCTTCGGTTGCCTACTCGATGACCTCAAATCTGAAAAAGAAATAAGGAGTGGTGATCCGGAAGACCAGGAGATATTTAGGAAGATTCTGATGCTGAAATGGGGCCGAATTAGGGGAGAGGGCCCTTACTCGTGGTTAGATCGGAGCACCAAATCACAATCCACATAGAATCAAGTGGTTCAAAACCCTGCACCTGGATTTGGTACATCATTGAGGCTCTTTATTCTATCCACATTTCCAGCCAGGGCTCCGCGGAATTTGAGAGTATTAGTTTGGATTTGATATTTTTTTATAGACTGTATATCCTGGGTTTAATGATACATAACTGTTACTGGTGATATTGATTCTGAATTGAATGTTTGAACCCAAAAAGTCGTAAAGTTGGATCTCATAAGTATATTCTCCATCGCATGTGGATTCTAACAGTGTTCCATAGGAAACGTTGAATGAAGTTAATGAAATGAAACACATCACTTAGCTTAGCTCATTCGACTTACCTGTGATTATGAATTAAAACATGAGTTGAGTTGTAAATTTATAAGAGACGACTTTGAGGACATGCATATGCCATATGAAGCCCATTACTAATGAGGATTCTTCTTTTCCTTCACCAAATCACCAACTCTTTGATCTTCAACCGGTTCAAAACCATGCTGAAGAGTTTCTACTAGATTCTTCAATGGAAATAGAAGAGGCTCATCCCCATCTAGAGAACTTCCATTGGGCATCAGATATTCCAGTCTCAATGGGACATCTTCAACGTTGCCGGATCAATCCAGATATCAGGTGAGAATAGAGCTTTTTTCATGATACACTGCCTAACACCGTCGCTGTACCAAAGATGCACCGACAGATCGAATTCGAAAACAAGGCGAATCCCTTTAGATCGGTACCATTGGGATATATGGTCAAATAACCTTTCATGATTCATTTCAAGCAAGTCTCTTTCAGATAGGCCCCATGTGTCGTTCGAAGTATTCCGCTCTTTTTTCTCGTTGATGTCCACGAGTATCACGAGCTTAGTGTGATTTTGGGTTCCTTCTAGCCATTTTTCTGCGTCGCGGTAGAGCTTGTGTGTTGACTCACTCACAGCGACCTCAAGGGCTACTACCGGCCATCTAGTCCCGTACCTTTAGATAGACGCATCAGCAAGTTTGGTAGATCCAGCGAATCTGCCAGCCAGATCAACTTCTAGAAACAAAGTTAGATAAAATCTATCGAAAATCATAGAGAAACAACTCTACTGGGTAACTTACCGTTGCTGCCCATTAAGTCGTAGTACGAGCCAGTAGCAGCCCTCAATCTGCCATTTATTTGATCAAGACACCTATTGACTAGAAGTGTAGTAGCTTCATGCATCCGCCTCGGATGTTCCCTCAGAATAAGACATGCATTCTGCGCATCATATTCAACGCCACGATAATCAACACCCACTTTCTTTACCCATTTATAGTATTGGGCAGGGGAGACGGTGAATTTGTCAATAATCAAAGAGTTCCGAGATATACGCCTTACTGCAGAAATGATGTCAAGAGAAAGGTCATCCAAAGAGTGAACTTGGTCAAGGATGCGTTCGATTTCACGCTGTGCCTGATGCTCCATCTTGGTAGAGGTCGATAATTTTGAACGATCTATCCCATATCTGGAGGCCATGTGGCAACGTTTATATACTGCGCAGGTTGGAGGATATAGTCTCGAGCTTTTGGGACAGCATTGAATGAGAAAATGGCATTTTGCCGGGCACGCAGCGTCTCATCCATTGAATAGACCGATGATAAATTTAGTAAGTATCGTCTTCAAACGTTTCGATGACCAGATTTCAATCAATCGAGTAATGCGAATGTTGATATTTTGAAGAAGATAATGAGAATTTTACATGCTGAATCAAGAAGAGAGTAACTATTTACATGACGACTCAGATTGAACAGAATTTCGTTTCGTTATTAAGTATCATCTTTAAAACATCTTTATCCATCTTGTTTATAAACGATTGTTCGCAGATACTCTATCATCATATTAGGAGTTGTTGAGGCATTTAGATCAAAGGTGTTTCACTCAATACATATGTACCTTTCTAAGGAAGAGACCAAGATACACAAACAAGCTTGATAGGCCTGATGATAAATCTTATTTGTTTTGCAGCTTTCTTTGTTCAAAGCTACGGAAATAAGGCGATTAAAGAGAATGTTGAAGGAGAGGTAAGCTGTTTTATAGCGTCTTAGTCTAGAATAGTGTACTTTATACTCTGTTTATTGTTTGTTGTATCACAGAATTCATAGCATCATGGACAAATAGGGTCCTAGTCGCAAATTGCTTTTATGTTTAAAACAAAGTGCTGTATGAAATCTTTCTTGTTCCCATGAAATACGGGCCAGGATGAAAGAGCGCCTCTGATTTGCGATGAGTATATTCACAAGGCTTCCTAAACCGAAGCTGTCACTAATGTTCGAACAAGACTGGGGCTTTCGCGAAATGGACACCTCAATGACCGAAAAAATAAGTGAACACTTTCTCATCATGGAATTGGTGTCAGGTTTTATTTGTGAAGTCTTGGTACGTTTTCCTGAAGAAGTCCATACACTTTACTATATTCAGCAGTCTCCGATTCTCTGAGATGACGAACAAGGAATAATAACTCGTCTGGCACATTTCATGACTAAGTTGGCAGATATGGTACGAGATATTTCTAGTAAACTCGAGGATGAGAGAATGATTAAATGTGTCTTTTGTGTAGATGATCTTCCTGAATCTTTGAACTTGATCAAAAACTTCGCAGAAGGAGGGTCGGCCTTAAAGCTGAAATGGAAACTAGATGAAATCGATTTTAAAAATTTAACATTACTCTAAACCCTGCTTAGAGTATTACTTGAATTTCTGAGTCATAGCTAATTTTGGCGCTGTAAATATGATATTTCATTTCATCATTTTATTTAGGGGTGAACGTCCGAAGTTTTCTTTCCATAACAGATGCGTGATGTATACGGGATATGAGATGAGTTCATC